AATAATTCACCGCACTGCAATTAGGGTTTGTTTCAGGATCTACATAAGATATAAAAACCTCCCGCCCCCATGGAAAAAGTAATTACCACCTTCATGAGTATCATCATGATTATCGTGATCATCATCATGATTATCATCATGATTATCATCAAGATTATCATCAAGATTATCATCAACTTGGTTTGCCCGAACGCTTGTTGGGAGGTTCGGGCAAACCATAGGATCTTGCTGTAACGTTATGTACAAGACATACAGGTAGATAGATAGATATACAATGATATATATATATAGATACATAGATCGACGAACATTACATTGCATTGCGTTACATTGCATTACAGTACAATACATTACATTGCATTTACATTACATTACATTTTATTGCATTGCATTGCATTGCGTTACATTTACATTAATTTGCATTACATTACATTGCATATACATCGCTTTAAACAGAGCTAGAGATTCAAGTCGTTTCATACGGGTATATCAAATCATCAGCAAAACTAAAAACTGGGCTGCCAAGTTACAGTAAAGGTTTTCAAACATGGACGCAGTAAGTCCTTTTTCAACGAACAGGTCAGTGACTAGACCGCCCTTTGAGGGGATCCAGTCATTGATCATGCAACGGCAACGAATGCATTGGAAAGAGGGTATGTTTCACCTAGGTCCTTATTGTGAATTGCGACATCTCACTCTAGGACTCGAGTGGATCTTATTGTACATTTTTTTAGTTAGTGTTCATATCGAACATTGTGGAGAGAATGTCCTTTTACTTTGGTAGGCGTTGGCCCAGGCCTTGTTGCTTTGTGTTGGTTTGCCGTTCGAAGGTGAATGCTTAAGCCAATCTGGTTTGGGGTTAAACCACCCTAGGAGCATTCAACATACCTGAAGCCACCAGCTAGCCATTGTTTACTTGCAAGGGGATGTCCATCAAGTCAGGTGCAACTTTCAAGGTGTCCAAAATAGCCAAACGCCTTGTAAAATAGCTATGTTCCACATGGGACAATGACCCAAACGGCATTTTTTTAGGGAAAAAACACGAGAATGCATTGGACTTGAGGGTATCCTATGTTCAGACTAAGCCACATTCCAATGACAGTGGTAAAGGATTGTCAAGGTGTTTTTGTTTGCTTCAAAATTTACCGGCCAAGGGTCAGACATCTTCACTGTTTTGGCGCCAGTGGAAATCCAGTCAGCGAGCATTTCCAGCCGTTTTGGCCAGGCACACTCCGCCAGCCAGAGATGTTCCTTGTTGGTAATGGGATTGTTCACATGGACCAAGAAAAGGTAAAGCACAAGGTTCCTTTCAAACAAAGCTTACATCAAGATATGGTTGTTCTTTTTTGTTCCGTGTACAGATGGTGTCCTTTATGAAAAACAAAAACAACCGCGATATATGAAACACTTGGTTTCAATGCAGTTCATAAGAATATACATATATACAAGTATACAGTATATATATATATATACATATGATTATATATATATATATGTATATTTGGTAATATGTGATATGTGTTTATACATATACGTAAATATCATCTGTTAGATGCTTCTTGAAAATGAGAAAACCTCACTTTACACCGGCGGGGCTGAAGAAGGAATCATCTCCTTAGCCAAGAGATCAAGTCATGAACAGCTGGGTTTGGCGATCCTTGCGATCAATGTTTGAAGACGTTTACTAAAATAATGATGCACGTCCAACGTTTTGTGGTTGCAACCTCTAAAACCCAGGCTTGAGGATTGAATACAAATGTAAACAAACTATCAAGCTCTCCCTATGGAGAATTATGATCCTTGTTCACCAATAGCTGTCCCACCTATGGGTTGCTTGCAAGCAGCAGAAATGCCACTGCCTACTCAAAGTATTGGTTCTCCAAAATATGCTCGTCAAATCAAGACCATCTTCCAGGAAATGGCGGTTTGCATTCAACACCAATGCCTCCCCATAACTTCAATTTAGGTAGTCTTAGGTACCGTCATGTTTGTTGACAATCCGTGTTTCAGGTTTGAACCGTCTTCAGCTACGTTGCGTCTCGGTTCTCTAAGCTAAGAAAAAACAGCAAAAGGGAACTGTAGATCCACAATATATGTGTTCACGTTGCACGATACAAGAACGATCAAAGTGAACGAACTCAACTCAACGTCAGGGGCAAGCAACTTTTTCAGAGGTCCAATTGACTTCAACTGCTTGTTGGGAATTTCTGATTGGGGCGAGACAAAAATGAAGGACGATACGACACGTGTGATTGCGCAACAGGCACATCTCTCACCTTAGTGAAACAAACCACGCTTCAAAACCAAGATGTCAGGAAAAGAACATGTTGAACAGCCATATTTTGGTGGGAGTTCAATATGGATGTGCTAAGCATTGGGTATATACATGTACAAGAAATACCATTATATATCCCTCAAATAGCAATCTTCATGGGTTGTAATGTGGGAACATGATGATCACGTGGTAAACCCTGGTAAACCGCCACCATCCCGCTGGGAGATTCCCCAAAAAAACGGCCCAAGCAAGAGGATGGTGACAGTTCTTCCAGGCACACAATTACCCTCTGGTTATGTCAAAATAGCTATTGAAAATCACCATTTTTAATGGGAAAATCCACTATAAATGGTCATTTTCAATAGCTATGTAACAAATTACCAGAGGGTACCCGGCATTATCCCACTATTACCCTCTGGTAAATTAACATAGACCCTGGCATTTTGATAGGGGTTGGAAGATTAGTGAAACCATTAAAACTAGGCTATGGATTCAGGGTCGAACTGTTAGTTTACCAGAGGGTATCCTATATTATCCCCTATTAAAAATTGGGTTTATCACAGTATCAATGGGAATTTGGGGATGCTAAAATGGAGCTACTGTACCATATAAGGGCATATTTTTGGGGGGTATTCCCTTATATAGCCCTGACATATCCCTTGTATATGATAGTTGTTCCTTTACCCCATAATATCCCACAATATTATCCAATATATTATTGGGGTTCAGTATGTTGAAACTGCCCAGGCTTCTCAGAAGTTTTTGCCCAAGTCTCCAAGGCAGAGGCTTTCGCAGCGCCGTCTTCGTGTATAAGCCCACCTTGTGGGCAAAAGGTCCCCGACGCTTTCTAAATCAAAAACACATTGTTAGGTTGGCAAATGGTGGATTTAACTAGAAGTCATCGACATTAATGATAGAGATTATAGTACCTGCAAATGACATGGAATTAGTCGGATGCGACATGGTGGTTGGTATATCAATGGCTGGATTCAATTGAGCATTTACAGGAAACGAAGGAATTTGCCATTAGATATCCAGAAATGGCAGCACATATCTTGGGCGGTCCTTTATTTATTTTCCCATATCATCCAATTGCGGGACTGTCTGGTACTAAAGGGGATAGAATGGGGATAGTTCATGAGGATATGATAATGGGGTATGAAACCAACCATTTGGGTATGTTATTGGTCGTCATTGGGTGGAAATGGGGCATACACCAACCATATAGGGATAGAATGGGATACAGTGATATCTATAACCATTCATTTGAAAGTTGGGTGTGTCTATATAATGATTTCTTTTTTGTGATGTGTCTTAGTAACCAAAAGAATATCACACGAATATACGTACAATCTCATTGGATTCCATGACAACCATGGTTACTTCATCATCATGATTGCTTCATCATCATGATTGCTTCATCATCATGAATACTTCATCATCATCATCATCATCATCATCATCCTCATCCTCATCATCATCATCATCATCATCAGTCATCATCATGTTTTAATTATTATCATAAGAAAATGATTAACAATCAAAATAAAAATTGATTGTTGTGGTCATGATCATGATAACATAACTAAATATAGTTAAATAATAGTGCTGAAAAAACATTCAGCATTATATTTTAACATTTTGCTAAAACTAATATTGAAAAGGACAAACACGTAAACACTATTTACACTGATAACAACAATCTAAAAAAAACACATACAAATCAAACTGATCATCAATAATATTTGGATGTTCCTACTATTGCCAGGCTACCTGAAACCCACTTGTGACCCTCATCTTTGGAGATTCTCAAAACATGCGCTAGTAGCGGCTACACCAGGTTTTTGCTTGCATGTTGTCTGGACAAGAGGCAAGGTAGGCTCTAAGGCTCTGGAGGCGCCTTTCGTCCAAACTCTAAAGTGTCCAGACTTACCCTCTGGTAAACTAACATAGCTATGGAAAATCACAATTTTTAATGGGAAAACTCACTATAAATAGCCATTTTCAATAGCTATGTTAGTTTACCAGAGGGTACATTGAAGATCTTCAATAAGGGATCAAATATGCCACACCCGTGGAACTGTTACACTCAAAGATCTTCAATGAAGGATCAAATCACCCACCCTCGTTAAACTATTACATTCATTAATGTCATTACAAGGCTGAAAAAGGGAATTCGGAAAACGGGTCTTCGAAGACCCTTACAGCACTCGCAAATCGCAAAGTCATGTTCGATCAAAAACAAGACCATATCAATAATATGTTGATACAGTCATTTTGTAATGTGGTCAAAACAATGTCATAAAATGTCATAAACCACCAATTTGGGAATGCTTTATACCACCCATAAAAATGGTGATTTGGGGATGGTTTCTGGCATTGTTTTGCCCACATTACAGGAATTACTACGTTTTTTGCTCTTCGTCAAGACGTCATGAAATGCACTCCGGGCAAGCGAAACATCTTCAGGCCGAAAGTTTACCCTGCGTCTGACAATTTGGGTGACAATTTGGGAGATCATTTCAAACATGTGGAAGTGAGAGAAAGTCACTGGAAGTTCATTATCACTGGGTTGATTGATTGGAAAAAATGTTCATCCAAAACTCTGGTGCTGAATGCAATTTCATTACCCCGCGGAAAGGTTCTAGACAGCTGCCACAGAGAATTAGCCACAGCAAACATGTTCAATCGCTCCAACAACAGAACCCTGCTTCTTCTCGAGAAACGAAAACGGGCACATCTTTTTCGTGCAGATTGGACTGAGGTTTCCTAGTCCTTATGTACAGAATTGTACACTCTGCAGTTCTGCGCAGTACATCTTTGAAAGAGCAACTTTATCGCCTTCGGCGAAGGATGTGGGCACCTGATTCCGCGATCAAATTGCAAGAAGTATGGGAAGGATGAACCCCAAATATTTCTCTCAACGAAAGAAGACACCAGATGCCATGCATTCTGCCCAACTTTGGGGTCTTGGATCGTTGCCATCTCCGGATATGTTTGGAGCTGCCGCCTGGCCAGCCTTCCAATATCTTCACCGCTGCTCGCGCGATCATGCCACAGGACGATCTGCAGGATGGGTTTGACTGAACAAATGGATAGACCCCAAAAAGAACATGGTCCATCAGTATTTTCCGTATTCAAGCCTTATTAAATAGCCATCTCCTCGCGGTACAGCCCATATCTGGGCAACCCTATTTTGTGGAAAATGTTCTCTTTCCTCCATGATTGGCGACAAATTAGCCCATTTTCACCGACCATTCGTGAGTCGGGTGACCTTGTCAGGCATCCTTTTTTGACCGCAGGAGCCCAACGTGCTGACTTCTGATAAATTGTTTATACAATGTGGTGCTGATCAGATAGCTCAGTCTCAAACTAGCTAACTGATGGCTTTTTTATAAAACAACTCATCACTAGGGGGCACCACCTTGCAGATTACAATGCTTCTCATGGTTTTTTTTCGTGTATGGCCCACAAAGCTTGGCGACCTACATCGACCTACAATCTTGTTTGTGCTTGCCATCTATCCGATCTTATTGGAAACGCTCTATGGAACAAAAAATGATGACTCAAGTTAATGCACATGTTTCAAAACACAATCAAGATCTCAATGGGCATCCCTGCATCCCTTACAATCGGTGGGAAACTATGGGGATCATCCATAGTTTTGATGCTAAACTATAAAAGCCCTCATCAAGTTCAAACACTTACAGTAAGTTACGGAATCATTTCGGAAATCTCTCCTGGCAACCCTATATCTTCATGAAATGGGTACGGGTACGGCATGTCACCCGGCACATCGCAAAATTGTGGAACTGCGGCTGAATCCATCATTTTATTGTAGGTTATTGTGGTAAGGCAGAACCAATGGCTGCTGCATCCCTGCATTTTAAGACGTGCCCATCTCATTCCAAACGAAACGTCACTAAAATGCAGCCAAATCAAAAAGGATACTGAAAATGGTGACTCACTGTCCCCATTTGAACATTTGAAAGGATATCATCCAGGAAAAACAACACAGTTTTGATCATCTCCCGTCCACTAAGCATAGGAGCTGATTCTCTCCGAAGCCGTGGTTGACTCCATGACCATCAGCAGTCTGCGCAGATAGTTCAGGTAACATTGAAAAATATTGAAACCAAAACGTATCTCGCTTTAAGGCATATTCTTGGAGTAACTAAGGGAAATCACCTTTGTGAACATAGCATACTAAAATACATCTGGAAACATCAAGATACTACATACATGCAGTGTTTGCAACGCCGAACTTTCCAATGCCCTGCATCTGCCCTCGCAGGAGTTGAACTGACTCCACTTGGAATTTGAATCCTGCGACCAATTTTTGTGGAAACGTAGCCAACTCACCACAACTAGACTAACAAAACCAGATTCTCAAATGCGGAGCACTGGACAATGCGAAATTGAGAACATTTCACCTTTCCAATTACGTAAGCCAATGCAAGTTTAGTACAGCGACAACTAAGCTGGTGAAATAAGAAACAAGTCCAGCTATCATTATGTCATGGTCCATGTTTGCCCTGGAGTAAACACACAACCACGGGTTGGTGTATATGTGTATATATATATATAAATATACGTGTGCGTGTGTGTGTGTGTGCGTGTGTTTCTTTGGTTTTTCGATGTATTTTCTGTGCAACTATATATTTTGAAAATATACTATAGTAAATAGTATATCAGTATATTCATATATATATATGTATATATATACACGTATATTATATATATATATTTATTTAATTTAATATTCATAAGTATTCTGTATGAATAAATTCAACCACCGCCCCCCCAGTGTGATGGGGCCTGCTCATCTTTCGGTCCAGGTGCTTGATCTCTCTTTGAGTGGCGACCTGTCCCGTGGGAATCACCAACGGCAAAATCAATCTGGCTTCGAATGTCTACAAGCACAAATCAAGTGCCGTAAGAAATTGGAAACTCAATCATAAGGCACTGATTTACCAAATCAAACTTTGTTAGATCATCAAGAAATAGAATCATAAGGTTTGCTTCCAGGCATTGATGACCTAACTTTGTGTTCTACTCTAGACTCATTCTATAGATTCTATAGTGCTTCGTAAAAACGAGCGGTTGTGACAGGCAATGCCAGGGAGATGTGATTTTTTGTTCCGACAAGCCGCACAATTTTACCCAAACCCATAACTATACTATTCAAATGCAAAGAATTTCGCACGAAAAGCAAAGAATATTGTTGACCTCATTCTGGCCCAGCTGGTTATTTTCACAAAGCATTTCCCAAAGTTCTCCATGTATTGGAAGGTTGCTAGGATTTGCCACCTACCTGGCCACATGACCAGGTTTTTGTAGGTTGATTGGGATATAATAATATATATGGGGATCATGTCGGCTGGAGATCCCTTGGCGTTTTTGAATCAACGTGACTAGTAATGACACAGGGGGTGCTGTACTTGGATTTTGTCTGAATTTCGAAAATCACACTTGACAGGCAGGGTGGTTGTTTTTTTTTCCAGCTGTCATCAATGGTTGGCTGGTAATACCGGTATCGGTATCCATGGAAACACCACGGAGTTTTGATGGAGTTCCCCCCCCTCTCAGTTATAAATTGATAAGCCAATGAAAACTATAGATGTATCACCTAAAAAACCACAGTATTGGACTCTTATAAACCAACTTAGCTATCTTGGGGGCACAACACAGAGTAACTGTTTTGCGATGTGTTCATCGCACTTTTCCCAACTGGTGGTTCTGCCGCCAGCTCTACCACCTGCCGACCCTAGCGGCAAAGAACCTGCGCTGATTATAATTCAACCACACAGCAACTCCATATACTTCAGCATTGAGTATTCATAGACGATGGTTTTACATAACTCACACTCGAAAACCCAGAAGGGTGCGAACATGTGTTGGCAACCTGTACTTGCTTGTGACTGAGAGAAGAGGATAAAAGAATGCTTTTCATTGCCAAACCGGGTTTTGAGACCAGATCCCCACTTTTGAGCGGGGTCCGGTTTTCCACCACAGCTACTCGGTGTTTTTTTGTGCTTCACCCTAAGCCAAGAGTTCCGGGAAGATGCAAGAAACTCTCTCAGATGCCAACGGAGAAGAGCACAGCTTTGTATATTGTAGCCCGAAGATGCCCAAAGTAGTTCCAAGAAGGCTACAGTAGTTAGGCAACTCGGGGGGAGAGAGAGAGAAAGAGAGAGAGAAGAGGAGGGACGAAGAGAGTAAGAGAAAAAAAACAGAAAATTAAATAGTAAAATGCTTAGAGCGATCCACACCTCCACACCGACTGACATTTGACATATATATATATATATACAGTGACTTTCTATCTGACGCACATTCTTACAGTCTATCTGACGTATACCCTGGTACTTTAAATCAATATCTGACAGAAACTCTGACCAATAATTTGAAACATATTCAGACATTCTATGAAACATTTTACCTGGCAGCCTATCTGACATCCTTTCTAGCGTTTATCTAGCATCCAATCTGACAGTGATATATTCCGAATTGATCCGAATTGTCTTTCTGACATGTCTTCAAATATGTTAAAATCTGGCGTTTTAGATGGCATATTTTTCGGCTCTGGCCAGGCCGAGCTGGGCCTAAGCTGCCCCCATACTGTTCGGTTGCTGCCAAGCCCACAGGGAAACTTCAAAAAAGGGAGCTGAAAGAGTCATTCAGACGATCAGCCTGTAAGATTCTGTAAAAAAATGTCGGACAGAATCTTAGCCCAGCCATCCAATCCTGCACTCATTCAGTCCGTCATGCATGCAATAAATCGATCAGGTGATTTCAGTCGGCAACCTTTACCAAAGTTTTTTCTTAGAGGCCGGACACTATATATAATATATGATAATATATGTATTGTCTTCTTTCTGTCACAAATTTCAGAGTTTCCGGAAACTTCACCTCTTGAATGGTTTTGGCAAAAACCGTAGCAAGAGGACCTAGCTTCTGCAAAATTTACTTTACTTCGTGTGATCCCCACCATGACATTTATCGATTTGTTACTGGCAAATCTTCTGGCATTCTATCTGGCATATCTTCTGGCATTCTACCTGGCATATTTTCTGGCATATGTTCTGGCATATCTTCTGGCATTCTATCTGGCATATCTTCTGGCATATCTTCTGACATCCTATCTGGCATTCTATCTGGCAAATCTTCTGGCATTCTATCTGGCAAATATTCTGGCACTTTATCTGGCATACCTTCTGGCATTCTATCTGGCATATCTTCTGGCATTCTATCTGGCATATCTTCTGGCATATCTTCTGGCATTCTATCTGGCATATCTTCTGGAGGACCTGGCATATCTTCTGGCAAATGTTCTGGCATATCTTCTGAAACTCTATCTGGCATATCTTCTGGCATATCTTCTGGCATTCTATCTGGCAAATCTTCTGGCATTCTATCTGGCATATCTTCTGACATCCTATCTGGCATTCTATTTGGCAAATCTTCTGGCATTCTATCTGACATTCTATCTGGAGTTCTATCTGGCATATCTTCTGGCATTCTATCTGGCCGTTGAGGTCCAGCGGTGCACACTGAGCTGGGCAGGTCCCAGGTTGAGGTCCAGCGGTGCACACTGAGCTGGGAAGGTCCCAGGTTGAGGTCCAGCAGTGCGCACTGAGCTGGGAAGGTACCAGGTTGAGGTCCAGCGGTGCACACTGAGCTGGGAAGTTGGTGGCAAAATCCGCAGCAAGAGGACCTAGCTTCTGCAAAAACAACTGTACACACGCTGAATTTGTTTGACATTGAGGACACAGCTGTAATGCCACACCCTGCTTTTAACACACTGCGATTGTTTCAACGCCCCTTTATGGTTTCCAAACCCGCCTGGTCAATTGCTCTCGCATTGCCTTTGCAGCGCAGCATTCCATCAATGAACTCCTGCGTGTCGCGGCATTGGAAAAACATAGCCCTGACATCTTCGCATCTAAACGGCCTTCCTTCCACAGCGGCCGGAAAATTTCGCACAAACATCAATTTTGAATCCGATGTGCTCATGGCATGGCAACGGCCCTTTCATGCAGCATATTTGGTTGGGATGTGCTATTCGATTGCCCACCACTTGCAGCGGCAAGAGCATTGGAACCTTGTTCTCCAAGCCCTAAGGCAGACTCCTCCCACTTCTAAGGGAGGGCCCAGGGGCAAACACAAAGGCTTGGTCGGGTTTCCGCTTTTGGGTTTCGACACGGCCTTTGGCACTTTCCTTCTCGAAGGCTCAAAACCATAACCATTCAAAGGCGCACAAAGGCTTGCAAAGCCATTGCAAAGCTACCCGGCTCCATTCTATAAGGGTTTCGAAATTGCTGTTTGGCACCTTCATTCTCAAGGCCATGGGCGAAAAACCACCCAAAGCGGCACAGGTTTGCTGAAGTACGTGTGGTTCAGAAGGGGGTTCCAAACTGCCGTCTGGCACGTTCATCCCTGCGGCCTCACAAGGCCAAAGCCCTAAGGCCAAAACCCCGCAGGGTGAAATCTGTGCTTTTGCTCGTGAGATCTCCGTTGTCGTCACTTTCAAAATCGCATGAGATCCCTTACTGGTCTCTCCCTAAAACAGGGGTTGGCGGCAAAAGGGCAGTAGCCCTTTAATTGCACACATTTGGTTAACAACATGTTTTTGTGTTTTTTAAAGAATATGGGCAAGATTTCTTCTTGTTGCCATGTGGGAGGGAAGCCGGTGGCAATCCAATGGCTGTGTTGTGGCTGCTGCTGCTGTTGATCTTCTTCGGTGGCAAACAGACCCAAGTCATATATACATACAATTATAATATACATACACGGATAATATGGGTCAAAATTGGGAACCCCAATAATTGGATGGTCAACACTAAAAAAGAGGTCTATAGCGACATGTTCCTCTTAAGTCGACATTGACCCCGGCCGACCTCTCCTCTAGGGTCACCGTGCCATCTCCATCATCCAAGATGTGGAAGAGAGCTTTGCTTTCATGAACGTCCTTGGCGGAGGATTTCTCGCCACGAAATCTCACTTAAAGAATCAATCTCATTGTCATGGCGGATATAGCTGACATAACTCTATAGCATGTTGACATGTGTGTTCTCGAACTGCCACATTAAAAAACATAGATCATTGCTGCACGAAACCTCACGTTATGCCAATATTTTATGTCAGCACACTTGTCGGAACATGTGTCAGTTGAGACATGCGCGCGGCGGCCTGGATTTAAAGGGTTACGATTTTCTCTAAGGGAAGATTGGTACTGACAGGTGTGTGTGTGTGTGTGTGAATGTTGAAGTAAGAGTTGACATGCATATGCACTGAATTTGCACTGGCAGATCTAATATGGAGGTTTCCTAAAAAGAGGGTACCACAACATTGATGGTTTACAATGGAAAATCCCATCTAGAAATGGATGATTCGGGGGTACCTACCTTTTAGGAAATCTTCATACATGCTCATTAGGATCGTCCCAGTTATCTTTGTTGTTCGCCGCTGCATGTTGCGGTTGCTGTTGCTGCTGTGGCTGTGGTGGGTTGCTGGCTGTTGTTGCCTGGCTGTTGTTTAAATGTTGTTGTTTGTTGGGTGTTGTTGGCTGATTGTTGTTTCTTATTGGTTGGTTGGTTGGTCGGTTGGTCGATTTCTTGGCCTTTGTTCGTATCTTTATTTGCTTCTTTGTCTGTCTGTCTGTCTCTCTGTCTGTCTGCCTGCCTGCCTGCCTGCCTGTCTGTCTGTCTGTCTGTCTGCTTGTCTGTCTATGATAATTTAAGGTTTTTTCTTGTGCGTGGGTGTCTTTGCTGGGTTGTTTGTGTGTTTGTTTGCCAGATTGTTTGTTTGCCAGATTGTTTGTTTGCTTGTTTGATCTGTCCTTGCTGCGGGGTAATTGTATTATGTACCGTGCAACATTTTTTTTTGATTTATTTTGTTCCGCGTTGGTGTGCTTCTTTCACATTTAATTGCTGGCCGTTCCTTGCGTGATCTTGCTTGCACATTTGACCGTATTTGCGTGGTTGTTGCTTCTGCTGGTTGCGATCATTCATTCGAAGGACTAGCATCGCTTGCATGAGCGCTTTAGCTGCACACATGATAAAATATCAACCGGTAGTCATCAAGCAACAGGTTGTTCCGTTGTTCCACCCATTGCCCAGAACTCCACTTAATTTGCCCAGTTGTGAGTTGTGACAGGGATGCAAAGCCAGCTGATCACAATCCCGAAATTGTGGGCCAAATGGCCTCAGCAAAAAAAAACATTGCCCAAACCTCCTTAGTTTCAATGCGGTGTGCACCTTGGCTCCTTTCCCAAGCCCAATAGCCAGCAACTTGGTCCAGTGTGCATCCCAGATGCCAAGTCTAAGGACGTTTGGAAATAAGTTCTGACCTCGCGATCACCGCGATCACCAGATTCAGGAATTTTTGGACAGGCTATTTTTCGTGCTATCTCCGGTAATCAAATATGGCAATTGAAAAACTCCTATTCAGTGCTTATCAGAAACTATACGACGGTTGGCCCGAGAGCGAAAAAAACGTTTTTCAAACAGCTCTGATAATGGTAGTCGTAAAAAAATAGTCGGTGAATGGTTGGTGAATTTTATATGAGCTATGGAGGGATAAGTTGTGAAAAGTAACTAGGATGTGACAACCCATGCATATGCACTGTGACTGTGCTGCTTGGTAAAGGGCATCATATGACACGTGTCTTGCGACCACAGAGAGACATAGATGGGGAGGGAGAGAGAGAGAGAGAGAGAGAGAGACGGAGAGAGAGAAAGAGGGATAGGGAGAAATAAAGGGAGATCAGCAGATGTGAAGGTGCGAGGAAGTAGATCAGCAGATGTGAAGGTGTGAAGATGTAGATCTGCAGATGTGAAGGTACGAGGACGTAGATCAGCAGGTGTGAAGGTGCGAGGAAATAGATCTGCATATGTGAAGGTGTGAAGATGTAGATCTGCAGATGTGAAGGTGTGAAGACGTAGATCGCAGTGAAACGTCGTGGCTCAGAAGTGCCAACCTTAGCACAGCGCTGGACCTTTCACACACAGAAGCTTTTACACACAAACACTTTTACACACAGAGACCGGACCCGTGAAATTGCAATTTTATCCAATCGCTGACTTTTACACACAGACGCTTTTGCACACAGACGCTTTTACACACAGACGCTTTTACACACAGAGGCTTTTACACACAGAGGCTTTTACACACAGACACTTTTACACACAGACGCTTTTACACGCAGACGCTTTTAATTACACACAGACGCCTTTGCACACAGATGCTTTTACACACAGACGCTTTTACACACAGACGCTTTTACACACAGACGCTTTTACACGCAGACGCTTTTACACACAGATGCTTTTACACACAGACACTTTCACAGACAAAGGCCTTTGCACACAGACGCTTTTATTACACACGGAGGCTTTTACACACAGACACTTTTACACACAGACGGTTTTACACACACACACAGAGACTTTCACACACAGAAGCTTTTACATACAGACTCCTTTACACACAGACGCTTTTACACACAGAAACTTTTACACACAGAGGCTTTTACACACAGACGCTTTTACACACAGATGCTTTTACACACAGACACTTTCACAGACAGAGGCCTTTACACACAGACGCTTTTATTACACACGGAGGCTTTTACACACAGACGCTTTTACACACACACACAGAGACTTTCACACACAGTATACAGACTCCTTTACACACAGACGCTTTCACACACAGAGACCGGACCCGTGACATCGCAATTTTACCTTAGTTTTTGGCGATCGAACTTCATTTCGCGCGTAAGGGTTGCGATTGACACCTCAAAATCGCAATTTTACAGCAGTTTTTGACGTCCAACGTCCATTTCGCGCGTAAAGGTTGCGATTGACACCTCAAAATCGCAATTTTATACCTGAGTTCAGGACGACCAACGTCCATTTCGTGCGAAAAGGTTGCGATGGATACTTCAAAATCGCAATTTTACCCCAGTTTTTGACGTCCAACGTCCATTTCGTGCGAAAAGGTTGCGATGGGCCAAGTAAAATCGCAATTTTACGTCAGTTTTTGACGTCCAACGTCCATTTCGTGCGAAAGGGTTGCGATGGGCCAAGTAAAATCGCAATTTTACGTCACAGTTTTTGACGTCCAACGTCCATTTCGTGCGAAAGGGTTGCGTTTCGTGGCTCTCCGGCGGCACCGCCCCCGCCTTAAGAGAGAGATAGAAAGAAGAGCGAGAGAAGATCCGCAGATGTGAAGGTGCGAGGAAAAGTAGATCTGCAGATGTGAAGGTGTGAAGATGTAGATCTGCAGGTGGTGTGGGGGTGTGAACATGTAGATCTGCAGATGTGAGGGTGTGAAGGTGTAGATCAGCAGATGTGAAGGTGTGAAGATGTAGATCAGCAGATGTGAGGGTGTGAAGATGTAGATCAGCAGATGTGAGGGTGTGAAGATGTAGATCAGCAGATTTGAAGGTGTGAAGATGTAGATCAGCAGATGTGAAGGTGTGAAGATGTAGGTTAACAGATGTGAAGGTGTGAAGATGTAGATCAGCAGATGTGAGGGTGTGAAGATGTATTACAACGGCTGCTTTTTTACGAAGAACCCTTCGCAGGCGCTCTCGGGAAAAAAAAACATAAATAAATCTGTATTTACATGGAATATGTTCTATTGGCTTGATTACCAGCCTGTGTATAAATTTTACACAGTGTCAAGCCAGGCTGAATCAACCCCTAGGCTGCTCAATTAGTGGCAGTAGCATTTTGCAAATTATAACTTGTCTGGGGAATCCACCAATCAATCAACCAAGGTTTCTTGATCTGGGGTGGACATTGAATATGTAAAAATATGTATTGTGTGCAGCAAAGGCGAGACCATTACGTCTGAAGCAAACAATTGAAGTCACCATGGGTTTCATAGTTTCAGCCTTTTAGCCCATCTCAAGCACACGAGTCAGCTCTTTTCCTTTTAACATTTTTGAAGTACACTCCGGCAATCAAAAGAATCAAACATGGAAACGGACAAATTTATAGAATTTTCTCCGACTTTTAATGGCCACTTATAGGGGATTCCCAGCTACGCTGGAGGTCAGGGAATAGCCACCATCCAAAAGACGACCAGATCCCCCAGGCGCAACAACACACCAACCCCCAAGAAGATAGGAAAGCCCTAAGCCGACCATTTTTTGCGAATACTTGATTAGTAGGGAATGGATGGGAATGGGGGTTGCTGGGATTATCATTGATAGTTATTGTGCATCATTCCCTCATTCCCTACTAAGCACCAGTAAGTTGAGTGTCGATTCTTACTTTTCGGTCTCAGTTTCTGTGTTCTTTCCTTTCGGCTGGGAGATGTCCTAACATCTATAGTATAATATCAGCCAGCTATTGGGGATATAATGATGGTACGTATAACCTGCAGCAAAAAAAGGACATTTACCTCGGGTAAACTAATTAAAACATAGATCTGGTAAAACCCATGGTTTCACCCATGGTTTCCCCTGGCTTCCAACGTGTCCCACCGGCCCGTTGTACGAAATTCATCGAGGCACCAGCGGTCTCTCCAAGGCCTCCACCAAGCGTTCCTCGGTGATTTGGCCGTCGCCTTCCTCATCGATGGCACCGAAGATGGCTTCCAACTTTCGGGCATATTGCTCCTGACGGGACCGGACGGGACCTTGGGAACAATAATGTCCCTTTGGTAAAAAAATAGGGGGGCCGGGAGCTGGTATACCATCTATCATCATTTACCTGTTGGTGGTGCAATAACCATCTTGAAAAATATGAGTCAATGGGAAGGATTATCCCATATATTGTGGAAAATAAAAAATGCTTGAAACATATTGAAACCAACAACAAGGCAAGTTTTAAATCTGACGGGACCGGACGGGACCTTGGGACCTTGGGACCTTGCCTCAGGTTCTGAACCTCAAGCCTTATTTACCTTGAGCTTATTTTAGTAGCCAGGTTCAGAACCTAAGTTTTAAGTCTGACAGGACCTTGGGACCTCGGGACCTTGTCGAAACATGTCGACTTGATGACTTGAATCTGGCGACGTGAACGGTTTTTAATTTTTTGAAATCACTGTGACTGAATCAGTTTGATCGTGATCTACTAGCCACCCTCGTTTTTGAGGAATTCCTGCTGGTCAGGATTTTTGAAGTTGAAGAACGGACACAAATGACCTTGACTGACCGTAGCAGCACAGCATGTATCTTCCAAACACATGTGAGTTGGTCCGTATGTCCCGCCCCCCAAAAAAGAATTGCACGACCGGCTTGTGAATTGATCAAATTTGCGTACCCCAATAAAGAAATAACGACTAAAGCACATGCAACTTGAAATTACAATACATGAAAAAGGTGGGTGATTCATTTGAATTTCAACAACTCAGGGCATTGACTGAGAGAAAACAATCCTTGTCACCCTGTTACTGTGTTCGACCCCGTGAACAACTCCCAAAATGAAGGATATTCTTGCAGCTTACAGCAAATTTAGACATCCTAAATGTAGTTACAATATATTTCCTCAAAGGCAAAAGGAACCTGTTTGAACCATCTAATCCATCAACCAGATGTGAGTGGAATTTCCCTTTTGACGTCGCACCAAGTTTGTTTCTTACGCATTTATTGTGTGTCGGTGTCCTCTTTTATTGATATATGGATATAAATATATATATATACATATATTATCATATATTATATCTATATGGGACATCAACCCTAGATAAAAATCTCTTTTGGATTCTTTTGGTGGGATCAAAAATCACCAGAAAACTGCCCCTTCAAAAAATTTCGGACGCCTTCTTAACCAATCTCTCGGTCATCAAATGCTCGGCATCGTCCGCGGCAGCGTCTAAAGTGGCTTTTAAAAACACTGCCGTGATCCTGAAGCGCCGCTGTGGATAAACGTTTCAGAGGCTGCGGTTGAAGATGAGAGTTTCGGCTGAGATAGATTCATTATATATATATATATGTAATCCCCTTCCTTCACAAGCTGATGGTTGGTTGTCTGATTCTATTGGAAGACCAACCACAGGTGTCAAATTAAATGCTAAAGCAACCTTTGGAGTCCCAATTCCTGGCACAGCAAAAAGGTAAAAGTAAGCATGTTCCTCTCCCCAAAACTGGCAAGGACCATTTAGATCGCAAAGTCGGCTCCCCAAAAATCTGTCAAAGCTTGGGTTGCAGTTGAATAAAATAGAGGTTGGAAACAAACATATGGAAAATAATATGGAAATAAGTAGAGTAAAGCTCAAAATCGTCATCATCATCATCAGCATCATCATCATCATCATCAGCAAAACATATGGAAACAGTTTGAAACCTATATATTGATTGTTGAGTCAGCATCAGCAATGCGATGGCAACCCAAGTCCATCATATTTTTAACATATCATAATTAAACATTATAATCATTATACCATTATATGTTTTTTGGAATCTTGAAATGATTTAATGTTAATATGTGCATAATCATGTTTTAAAAAAGTGCTCATGGGTCACTTCATGCCAGAGTTCTCAAAGGTTCACATCAAAAGAAAAAAACTGGTGCAGTTCCACAGGTTAATGCAGCAGCATAGCACTGAATAAAATGAAAAACATTTGAGGCAGAAAACGCAAAATATGCGGCCTCAGTTTATTGGGATAGTACGAAGGGTGATATATATATATATATATATACGCACAAGTTTACATACATATGATATTGTATATGTTGATTATTTACATATATATACTGATAATAAGGGTATGGGTCCAGACCCTGGTACCAGGGTGTTCAAGCCAAAATAGCTGGTACAGTTGGATGCCAATATGCTAATCCCTTCCAAATGTAGTAATACGCAAATATATAAAATACAAGACGACTTAAGAGTTGCTTCTCATCCATGCCCATACGTTGTTGGTTGAAGGCAATTTTTCCGCCGGAAAAACCAAAATGCTGGACTAGCACCCTTGCATGGGACTGGCCATGGTGATGTGTCTCAGGTCGATGAATTATACCTGGACTTAGAGCTGCCTATCGACACTGTAGGAATAGTTGGCTACCTCGATGCGCATCCAAGTTTGTAATTATATTGGAATCACATTATGACATGGATTTTATTTTGTAATTATATGTAGTTATTGCACTGTTTCGATTTACATGCAGTTAAGTACATTGTTGAGAAACAATGAAATCGAAACACTGAAATAAAACTTAGCACCGGAACTCTTCCAATATTTACTAGATATGTGTGACAGTGTTGAATTTGGGTTGGTCGAAACCATGTACACCCATTAACCCAGTTTGCAACTGGCATTGCCCCAAAGTATGGGTAGCCCTCAAAGGACCCCGAATATTTCAAGCACGTACAGTTACATACATGGAACAACCCACCATATTGTTGAGTTAGTTGGCAAACCACAGGGCACCGCTTGATCTGTAGAAACCATGGATCTGTGTGCCAAAAAAAGCCCAGAAACACTCGAATCAGGCCGAATGCGACCACTGTAATGTACCTGGCACACCGGAATGGGGTGCCAGCAGTCTCCAAAAGGAATAAACCTGCTCCTCTTGGAATGGTTCCAAACAGTTTGATTGTGGGATACAATAGGCGTCGTCTTCTAGTTTCCAAGAGAAAACGTTGTTCATCATTGTTCCATTTAACAATGACCTCTTCTCTTCTATCGTATCCCCGCTTTGGAGCCACCTCATCTATGGAGCCACTTCTTCTTTGAGCTACATCATCCCTTTCACAACACTGTTGTCGACACGCTTTCTCCAGCGGCCTCTTCTGAGTTCCCTTTCTTTGGACATCTCTTTCTTCAGCTAGAAACTTCATCCCTCGCGTTTCTTCCGCCCCTCTCCCTCCCTCTGTCTCTTTCAAGGGCCCAGGCAGCTGATTTGTGTTTATTTCCCTGTTCTGGACATGAGCCTTTCTAGGTACGTCAATCCACTGGCGATTCATCAATCAATATCAATGATAGATAATCATCAATGGTTAACATACCAGTAAGGCATATATATATATATGCACACATAATATGTATATTTGTAAATCTTTGCGCTATGCACATTCTTCACTTTTATGTTTTAACCTTTGTTAAATCTGTGTCCAAGTCCAACCCAACATCTCTGAGAATCTGAGAATACATTAGTCACCAGACCCATAGATTTTAGCACACAGTACACCAGGTAAATCCGACATGGATCTGCCAAAAATCACATTGGAAGAGTATTTTCCCATTGGATATTGCCATTTTTAGCCGGGTTCTAATACCAAATAATGTATCTGTTTCCCTGTTTCTCAGATGCTACGCTCATCAAACTTCCAGAAGATTCGCCCCTGTCCAACCGAGATGCGCTACAAAGAAAATCACCATGGCAGCATGAACCTTGTCGATCACAGGGTGTGTGAGAGACGGCCAGCTTCCGCTAAAGGTAATCCTTGGTTGCGACGAAGTCGAAGTCGAAGCTGCACCGTCGCTGCTTACCCCTCTGTGTCAAGGAATAAACCGTTTACCAGGAAAAAAACATATGAACATCTTGCAATGTCCAATCCTAAGGAATAGGGCGGATTATGCAAAACACATCAAAACAAATCTTCTCCCTGGGACTCCCATAAGGTACCATGGAAAATTGGGGTCCCAACTTTTCACAAGCGTCGCCTCTTGGGAGGTGAATTCTCCTAGATCCTCGCTGGTTTCTGCTGGTAGTATGTCGACAGAGTTGTGGCTCTTGTTGTCCAGGATTAATGTGCAATGTTTGGACAGCCACGCGTTTTGGCACATGCAACCAAAGTGTCTCAGACTTGTAGCGTAGCTGTGGTGTATTTTGGCGTAATTACGGTGTGATTTGGAATAATATTGCGACGTAATTTGGCATAATTGTAGCATAAGATGCTGCAATGGTTCAATATGTCCATTTTGTTTCTGCGTGATAGCTTTTGCGAATTGCACACACGTGGCGTTGTTCTTTGCCAATTACTGCAAACTCGTTGTATTTGCACCTCTTTGCCTTGCAGCTATACTAAACAAAGTCTGATGGGTGACATGACACAGCCGAGAAACTAGGAGGAGCTGTATAGTTGCTGGGCGTTTAACCCGGATGTTTTCAACAAAGATGGTTCTGATTTGCGGTATTATTGTGCTGCTACGGCGTTTCTTCCGTGTTGCTTTTTTATTCTTGCATTGCGGCAGAAAAAATCGGCACAATGAATTGCGGCACTTTTTTCCGTCCTCCAATTGGATCTAGGTGTATATATATATACTATACGTATATTCAAACCTCAGTTTATGGTAATCAAGTAGACAAAACTTTGGAATGACTGTGAGATGTGTTGATCGCTTTCAAAAATATGTGTGCATGATAGACATGACATACCAGCCCTTGACATTTGGAAGAGTTTTGTAGCCAAGAGTCTCATAGAGCGTGTAGATGGCACGGAAGGACGTACCATATCTTTCCCACACCCACAACCTGCCAGGCCCTATCGCATACTTCAAGGGCCCCTGATGTGGCACTGTCATCACAATGGCGTGAAAGTTTGAACGTGTTTCACAACCACAGGATGTGATATCAACATATATCAACCCCGGACTAGGCATTATTTGATGTTCTTTGTGGGGTACAGTGCCGGTACCGCATTCATATTCAAATACATGTGGACGCGTTATTTAGGCGACTCCTAGCTAACAGATCAAATCCTGCGTTACCATACTGTTGTTTTCCCTTGGACAGGCAAAAATGAATGGCAGTAAATTCAAAGGGATGAAACCCACACACACACACAAATAGATTCTCTCACACACACACTGACTGACTGACTGACTGAGTGAGTGAGTGACTGACTGAGTGAGTGAGTGACTGACTGACTGACTGACTGTATGTTCTTTTGGCTGAGGTAATCGATGCCTGGCCAACTACCTGAAGCAATGTCCAGCTTGAAAAGCACGTTTTTTAAACAGGGTCTCGTAAATTACTGAATCAAAGTCGAATCTTGTCACCATGCAGAACCCAGTCCAGCTGAGAAAAAACATAGTTGTTCAAACTGACTGCAGGTACACAGGAATCACTTCCCGCTTCACCAAACGTGAGTCCGTCTTTGTTTGTCCAGGGCCAACTCACAACTGCCTGGACCCCTTGCTAATTGCAATTTAAAAAAGAAACTGATGTTATTTGCAGCGCACACACACAGTTTGTTCCAACATGATGATGCTGCTGATGAATATCATGATGATGAAAAAACAGCTCAACTGCTTGCATATCATTTGTTGCACCAATGACCACATGTGGATACCATGAGGGTATCAGCAGCAATCAATGGAATCAAAAATGGGAAGCATGTGCAAAGAAACGCAGCGTTCGATTGTCAAAACCCAAAGCCGCCCCTCAGATTCACTCCGGGCCTATCTGCCATGCTCCGCGTGTCAACGAAGTACTTCAGCAGCAGGTTGCCTTGGGGCAACTGGAATCAGATTTCTGGGTGACGCTGGTAGACAGCCTCCAAGGCACCAATAAACAGCGCGCTGGTAGACATGAACAATGAAAGAAATACCTCAGCAGCATCGGCAAGCGCTGCAAAATGCTGTGAACCGCTGCGAACCTGTTGTGTTCCAATAGTTCTTGCAATCCTTGGAACGTCTTGCAATAGTTCTTGCTTAACTTCATGAACCGTTGCCTTGGCCTAAGGGAAACTTACAGGATCCCATGGGTTTTGACGGTTTTGATAGAGCAACATGTAAGACTTCCCTGAGGGTGCTCCCTTGATCTGATTATGAGAACATTGCATCGGAAGTCGGAAGAGCAACCTCTTGAACTATATTTGGCCGAGTGCAGGATTCCCATCATGGACACAAATCCGCATTCAACCTTATAGTTCAACCCCAGATCCGCAGGGGCTTCTGAGTTCCTAAAACAAATGCATGGCATTCTTAGACACCCCGCAAAAAAAATGATGAGTATAAATAGTACTAAAATATATTCAAGTAGCGGTTTAAAATCTGAGCCACTTCCACTTCCCATTTTTGACCGCCTGGTTCTATGCTGAGCTTCCATGGCCCAAAACAAGGAATGAAGGAAGCTGTTGCAGGCCGTCCTTGGAGGATGCCGTTCATTGGGTCGTCCAGTCGTCATGAATGCTCATATTCAACCCTGGTTTGGTTCATCAGTGGCGTCACTCCCCATGTTCGGCACGACAGTTTTTTTTTGACCTATGGAGAATACTTGACTACCGGAGGCTCAGTAGGTCACAATTTGGGTGTTTTTTTTCTGGAATCCCCAAACTAAGATAGTTGATTAACATAGGCCCAAGTAATTTCCCAAAATTTATATAAAGCAGCCTTCCAACACCCAAATTCAGCCAAGTTGCAGGAGGAGTTTGGGGCCTTGAAACCGTCCTTGCAGGTCCAAACTGTGCGGTTCAAACCATGCGTTTCTCTGGAAATGATGCAGCAAGGTTCTGCGAAGCAGCAAGAAACATGACCCCCAAAGTGGCACATAGGAAAACTAATGATAAATCGTGGGATGTGGATGGATGTGGTGCCCTATTTTAGACATTACCACATGCTCCAGTAAATTTGGGCACACTCCTATATATCAGAGGCTTGAAATGGTTTTGCCGGGGAATGTTGCGGATGGTTTTGCCATATCAACCGTCGTTATTTAAGGTGAGACCGACAATTTATGGCACAGGCGAAACCCTATCCGTGAGACAATCCATGCGTCCTCAGAAATGAGCCTTACTGCAACGCATGAGGGGTCTGTACCTATTTATTTATTTATCTTTTTATTTATTTTATTTACTTATATTATATATATATATATTAAAAAAAATACAGATACGTCAGATATTTACACACCCAAAAACGGTTGGGGACCAACTCCTATGTGCCCTGTCTAAAGCCTACTACTCATAATGATAGAGACAAAAAACCCTGCTTGTATAAATGTAGAACTACGTGCATCTGGCATTGTTTCGCAGCATCCCGTAGCAAACCTGCATCTCTCTACACACATGGCAACGCCAAATGACAACAATCATGCAGCCATTCCACTGCGATCTGCAACCACAGATTCAAGAAACGAATAGAACTACGCACACAGGAACAACCACTCGTTGCAGAACACAGAGGAGGAACCGATTGACCTCGAAACGATCCAAACCGCACCCGCCCCACACAGGAGGTACCTTTCATCGCCGGCTGCAGCCACTTGACACAGAAAAATGCAAAGTTTTGTGCTCCGGCTTCCTCCCCAAAACAAAGCCCATGCAACATTCATGCAGCCATTACAATGCATTTTGCAGCAGTCCCTTCATCACCACTTCCCTTCGTCACCACTTCCTCTCCTCACCACTTCCCTTCGTCACCACTTCCCTTCGTCACCACTTCCCTTTCACCGCTTCCCTTCCTCACCGCTTCCCAAAGTCCATAGCCCATTGAGCATTCATGCAGCCATGACAATGCATTTTGCAGCATTCCCTTCATCATCACTTCCCTTAGTCCCGACTTCCCATCGTCACCACTTCCCTTCGTCACCACTTCCCTTCGTCACCACACTTCCCTTCCTCACCACTTCCCTTCGTCACCCCTTCCCTTCGTCACCACTTCCCTTCCTGACCATTTCCCTTCGTCACCATTTCCTTTCGTCACCATTTCCCTTCGTCACCGCTTCCCTTCCTCACCACTTCCCTTCCTCACCGCTTCCCTTCCTCACCACTTCCCTTCATAGCTTTTTATTCTTTTGTGATGTATTGTGACACTTCCCAAAGTCGCCACTTCCCATCATAGCCTTTTATTCTTTTGTGATGTATTGTGACACTGAACCACCCTTCATTGCCTTATTATTTTGTGATGTATTTGTGATGTATTGCCACCAGTCCCAAAGTCACCACTTCCCATCATAGCCTTTTATTCTTTTGCAATGTATTTTGACATTGAACCACCCTTCATTGCCTTATTCTTTTTTGTGATGTATTTGTGATGATGTATTGTCACCACTTCACACCCTTCATCAATGTCAAGTCTCACAATTCTATTTGTCCGTAACTCGGAAGATTGCTTCCCAACTTCCTTTGACAAAGTAGTACTGGAAAGTGCTTTGTGCAAGCTTTGTAGTACAAAGTAGTACTGGGAAGTGCTTTGTGCAAGCTTTGTAGTACACAGTAGTACTGGGAAGTACTTTTTGCAAACTTTGTAGTACAAAGTAGTACTGGGAAGTGCTTTGTGCAAGCAATGTAGTGCAAAGTAGTACTGGGAAGTGCTTTGTGCAAGCTTTGTACTAAAAAGTAGTACTGGGAAGTGCTTTGTGCAAGCTTTGTAGTACAGAGTAGTACTGGGAAGTACTTTTTGCAAGCTTTGTAGTACAAAGTATTACTGGGAACTGCTTTGTGCAAGATTTGTAGTACAAAGTAGTACTGTGAAGTGCTTTGTGCAAGCTTTGTAGTACAAAGTAGTACTGGGAAGTACTTTGTGCAAGCTTTGTAGTACAGAGTAGTACTGGGACGTGCTTTGTGCAAGCTTTGTAGTACAAAGTACTACTGGGAAGTGCTTTGCGCAAGCTTTTAGTACAAAGTATTTCCGAAAGGCTTTTGTATGTAAATGCATCTGTGTCTCATGTGTCTGTGTGCAAAAACTTTCTGCGCCGAATGTTTTTTTGTGCAAGGGACTTGTCTCTGACAGTAAGAGCTTTCTGGCGTGCGGAACAGCTAAGATGAGTTGAGACGAACTTCAAGGAGACGAGAAAGGTTGATCAGTGCTCGGATGGGATGAAAACAGTTGAGAAGAACTTACTTAGATGAAATGTGAGAAGAGATGGGATGAGATGAGAAGAGCTGAGATGAGGTGAGGTGAGAAGAGCTCACATGATTTGAGATGAGATGAAGTGTCGAGTGCGAAGTGCAAGTGTGAAGTGCAAGTGTGAAGTGTGAAGAGTGCAGTGTGAAGTGTGAGGAAAGTGTTTGCTTGGCGTTGCATTGCGCCGGGGTCGTGCGCAGGTCATGTTCTTGGACAACATCTGTGCAACAGCTTCGCACAAAGCACGCACGCACGGGCCTGGCTGGCGCACGGCGCATGCAAATTCTATAGATGAAAAACATATTTTATAGTATATCCCTATAAAGCAACTTCCGCCCCGCCTCGTGCGGCTACTACTGGTATAGTATAGTCTCGTGTTGTCTCGTCTCTTTCTCAAACTACCTATAGCACTGACCCTATTTACATCCTCATTGTCTCGGTCATCCTCACCATCTTTATCATCATCATCATCATCATCACCATCATCATGATCATGATCTCCATCATGATCACATCATGATCACCATCATCATCATCTTCTTCTTCTTCTTCATCATCATCATCACCAGCATCATCATCATCATCATCATCATCATCATCGTCGTCAGGTTCATCTTCTTCTTCCGGCTCGCCCCTGGGATTCGGCATTTTTCCACTTTTCTTCACGTTTTACGGCGCTTCTTGCCCCTGAGAAGCGGCATGCTTCCACGTTTTCTCCACCGTTAGTTCTGGCCGTCCCAGGTTCTAACCTGCCGCTTTTGTGCCCAACACTTTCTATAAGCACCTGCCAGTCCTGCTCTTCCTCTGCGCTCACTGCCTTCTCCGGATGCACTCTCACAGCCATGCACCTTGCATCTACCAACTTGAGTCCATTCTGCTCAATCTCCAAGGTCTTACACACACCAGCTTCTACACAAACCGACTTTTACACAGACACTCTTTTACACCAAGCACTCTTTGCAGAAAACAATTTTTACACCAACCAGATTTTACACAAACCCGTTTTTACACAAACCCGTTTTTCCACAAACCGCCTTTTACACCAACCAGCTTGTACAAATCAGCTTTTACACAAATAACAAAGCGACTTTTAACCTTTTTACGCAAACCACCTTTTACACCAAGCAGGTTTAATATTTACACCACCCCTGCTTTGGTCCTGTAAGCCAAGGGCCACAGGGGGCCGGCGGAATGCGGAAGGTTGTTAAATAAAAGACCTGTCGACAGTAAGGCCTGTGAAACTCGGTAGACAGCTAGCTATATACAGGAACGTCACAACTTCGACACCCCCACAGAAACCTGGAAACACGCACCTGATTGACAGTTGACGTTTGACGCAGCCAAGATGCTCAGCACACGGAAACATCGCAGAATCCGTAAGCACGACACAGCGTGGATGATATGCAGCGCTGTGAGCGAGACGTTTACCCCGCTGTTCTGCAAGAGAATCCTGAACAAAACGGTGATCCCTGAAACTTGGTGAATACTTAGTGCCTGGGGTGCTTTTTAAGTTCACACAAGAATATGGAAAACCATCGTGTGTAATTCATTTTCCTAGTGAAACATAATAAAAGCATGCAATTTCCATATCCATGCGAAATTACCAAAAGGTATATATCCCAGAGTTTAACTGTTTGGATCTGTTTGGTGGTTCCACTATCTTCATCTATCTTCTACCTATACCTAGGGACAGGCAACACTTTGGGACCGCTCAGTTCAGCTGAAGCACCTAGCCGGCAAACCGACCATGCCATGAGTTGGGGGTTGCAAGACTACTTCTCTCTGCACAATTTGCTGTTATTGTGCTGTCAGTTCGGGGACTGGCATGACGAACGCAAAACCTATGCCTTGGTTTGAACTCACCAACTTCCACAACACCACCTGAAAATTTGGGACTGTACAACAGTAGACTTAACCATGTGTAACCACCAAAATCAGTGCAGAACCCTTCTTTTGAGTGTTGCCGGATGATGTGCGATAGGAATTCATCAAATTTTAAGATTTGCAGGAATAAACCATTTTGTTTTGGAAATCGAGTCGGGATGATGTGGAAGATGTGTAGCAAGAATAGGAATCCACCAAGCATCCAATGCCATGATTCAACCAGGACGGAAACATGGCCCACTACGAGCCCCCCAAGAACAAGACCGTGTGAGGGCTGCCGAAAACAGAAACTGGCACCGATTGTGGTGGCGTTGCCGTCCTAGATTTATTATATTATATTCTTACCGGTAGCCGCACAAGGCGGTGGCAGAAGTTTCAAAGATAGGAAACCTATAGGAGAGGTGAGTTGTTGTGATGCATTGATGGCAAAGCAAACCCACTGACGGATCGATAGGCGGTTGAGGCTCTGATCCTCTCTCTTTCTCTCTGTGTCTCTTTACACCGTCAACAACGAAGGAGTTTACAACATCAAAAACGAACGCATTCTGCGAATACTTCCTCAGTTATTGAATTTGACAACATCAGAAACGAAGGAATTCTGCGAGGCTTCCTCTATTTTTGAACTGTTCAGTATACAGAGCCGGCGGGCTCTTGCCATTACGTTTTGCATTTGTTCCACTCCATCTACCTAAAAAGTATTGTGCCTGCCACGAGAAAAAAAAGTGAGGCCAGGTCATACGAAGTGCTGCACCTGCCACGCAAAATCATCTTACCTGACCAAAATGCAACCCTTCTCAGCGCCCTGAAGAGATGTCTCTGGTACTGCGCCTGCCACGGGACATGCATCTTTGCAGCTCCTCTTCAAAATCTTCAAGCGTCCCACCCCTGCTATCGTTTTTGCAACTGCTACAAAACCCTCACGTTGTGCTCACTTTTCCTTAAGGTGCAGAATCCATTGCGCCTGCCACAGAAATTGACGGCTCAACTTCCAAAAGCGCTGAGCCTGAGGTGTTTTCAGCATTTTGACTTCGAAATGTGCTTCGCGCCACAACGGCAATGCACTTTCTGAACGTCCCAACTGTTCAAAGTGCTTCGAACCCGCAGAATTTTCATCATTTTGACTTCGAAATGTGCTTCGCGCCACAACCGCGTGCACTTTGGGTGAACATCTCAACTGTTCAAAGTGCTCTGAACCCGCATTTTTTCAGCATCTTGGCTTCGAAATCTGCTTTGCGCCACAAATGCTCCGACAATGAAGTGTTTTGACGTGTTTTGATTATTTCTACTTCGGAATGTGCTTCGCACGGCAGCAGCGTCCACTTTTCCCACATTGAACTTCCAAAAGTGCTACGAAGCTGAAGTGTTTTGAGTGCTTCGCGCCACAGCCACCTGCAATGTTTGATCTCTCATCCAACCAGATGGCTCCGCCCGGGTCGCTTTAGCGAGCCTTCTTGTCCACAGACATAAATAAAGATAAAGTTCATGCACATCTGAAAATGTTGCAATGCCAAAAACAGGCATCCACACCATGTTCAATGTTCATAAATTGTGTCATACATTGTATCCGTTTCTATACTAATTTGGTAAAGGGTGTTTCTACAGACGCCCTTGTATATCTTGTATGTTGTTCTGCTCGAACAATCGATGTGGAATTCCCAGAGGGCACACAGCATGATCTGAAACCCAAGAGCCGACACACGTTGGCCAACTGTGTCCCCAGCCAAGATTCAGGAACATTTCAGCACATCCAAACATAACCAAAATAGTGTTTGCCACGAGCTCCACCGTGAAGCAGAACCTCGAATGAGGCTTTGCAAGTCTCAAATATATGCGGCAAACAAAACAAACAAAACCCAAATCGAACATAATGGGGATATCAGGAAATCACACCAACAACATTGCCTAGCGAACCTTGATATCGTGCAACAAAGGAAAATTCGAGAAGGGATGGGATGGGCCAAAACAAATAGCACTTGAGAAGGAAGACACAAAAAGTAGGGGGTCAAGATGGAGAGTGAAACAGTTTGGTGGCATGTGAGACCAACCGATGATGATAATGATGGCGGTGGTGATGATGATGATGATGATGACGATGGATGACGATGGTGGTGATGATTTTAGTTAAAGAAACCGCGGCAATGGCGCTGTTTAGTTTTGGCCGTGAACAAATTGCCGCTTCTTCCAAACATGTTTCATCTTGGGCTTGGACTCTGATTTTAAAATAAGTCCTGAAACTGTATCTTTCAATTGGTACTGTATCTAATTTGTTTCAAGGACGGCTTACAACAAACTCGCAAAATGGGGTGGCTGTGTAACAAGCGGGAGCCTAAATGCGCAGCACTGCTTGAACCTCGCAGAAGGTCAAGAATTTTTGGGACTTTCCTAATTTTGTTCATCAATTTTAGTTGATTCAGTTTGCAATTAGTTAGTTCAGCTTTCATGTGCAAATGTTTAGAGCCAATGATTGTCTCATTTCGATTCCAATTATTGTAACTTTATTCCAAGGCAGCTTGCAGTCAATTTCGAACAAAATTGAATTCAATTTCAGGGCCAGTGCCAGCAATTCAAATCAAACATAAGCAAGCCAAGTCGAAAGCAACTTTCAAAAGCAATATCCATCCCCGCCCCCAGTCAGCTTTCCACCAATACATTTCGCAATCAACACGAAAGCTTTATCTGACTCCATGCCCGGGGTCCCAAAAGCTTGTTGGGCCCTAGCCTCGCCCATCTTGGATGGGGCCCCCAAGATAGCTAAGTTGGAATATACGTGGCTTAGCTATGGTTTATGGCAGATATAGCATGATATAACTACAGTTAATAGTAGGGTTTATAAACCAGCTCATAATTTCTGGGGGCCGTACGCAGGATACCCATTATAAGAATTGCTATAGTCCTAGTCTGGTATGGATACCATAAGCCGTAACATGTCTTGACAATACATGTTGATCAAGCAACGGTGTTAAACACCGCTTGCCGTTCACTTACAAAACCAATCCGGCAGGCCAAACAAATATTGACACCATCGAGGTAAATCAACCAGTGTGTAACTGGTTGATGGTATACCTACCCCCCTGAAAAATATGAAAGTCAGATTGGATCATCATCCCAACTATTGGGGATAATAACAAATATTCCAAACCACCAACCAGGTAAGGATTTGTTTGCCTTGACAGGAATTGGCAGACAACCTGTGCTTAACCTTCACAATGACAGATACGGTATTCCATTTGTAGTGCTGGATCAAGACCGTCTGCCAATAGTATATGGCTTCCAATTCAATTTTCAATGTCTCCAGATCAACAATTCTGGAACTATTCTGCAGAGTACAAAATATATTGGTGAAACCTTTGATGATCCTCTCCTGGTTGGTATGCGATATGCTTCGCCAAATTCTATATGCTATTTGTTTTTCCCGTCCCATCCATTCCCCAATTACACACAACAGCTTTTACACACACAGATGCTGTTCCACAGAGGGGCCTCTGCACAGAGACCTTTTTACAATCAAACGGCTCTACACAAAGAAGCTTTGGCGCACAGTGAAAGATCCCTTCCCACAGAAGGCTTTACAAAGAGAAGCGGTTACACGGAGCAGCTTTTACACACAAACGCTTTTACGCACAGGAGCTTTTAGACACAGAACCTTTTGCACGGAGAAGCCGTTGCTCAGAACAAATTTCGCCACACATTTGGACGTCCGACACGCACGATCTCCGCAGAGCGTCTCCCCAAGCCACCTTAAGAGAGGTTTACAAGAGTTGGCGTTGCAGGTCTTTTCTCATAGTCTTGTAGGAGCTCAAAGAAGTTGATCACTTACATGTCCTCGGCGTAGATGATGTAAATCAGAAAGAAAACAATGCCGGTGTTCCGTATGAGTCCTGAAGGAGCTCATAGAAGCTGATCACCTGCGTATCTGCACCTGCGTAGATGATGTTCAAATAAAACATAAAATGTGTATATATCTATATCTATATATATATATATATGTATATGACAATTATATATATATATGACAATTATATATATATATATAAGACGTTGTACGTCATTTCTAAGGCTCTAGGAGTTCATAGGAGTTGATAACTGACATGTCTATACATGAGTGGATGGTTAAAATGATGAAGATCACATAAGTGATGTGTAAAATCTTGTAGAATAAATAGACCATGTAAATGATCTAGATGATGTGAGTCATGTTGATGATGTAGATGATGGGTGCAGGTGGTGGTGAAAATGATGGTGATAATGTAGATGATGCAGATGATGTAGATGATGTATGTGAGATGTAGATGATGGATGTAGGTGGTGATGATGATGTTGATAAGAAAACAGTTGAAGTTAGCAGCAGTTCTTTGAAAAAACAACACCTTGGCAGAGCTTTTGGGAACAATGTTGACGTCAGATGAGCAACTCCCCTTCAAGTAGGTGGGATCAAAAACAATGGCCAAATTAACATCCCAAGTCTGGACCCTTGGTCTTTGATTGCTTCTGGGATGTGGGAAACAGTTAACATCAATTACTATGCAGTAAATTGACATGGACAGGGAGGGGTGGAAAATCATCTGTACATGGTGGGGATTCCTTTTTTCTATGTTGAATTGACTGAAGATTGGAGGCTGTTCCCACCGTTTCCACCTGTCTTTTGACCAAAATTTCACACGCTGTTCGCGTGGCCCAGGAGCCTTTTCCTGGCAATGCACAAACAAATGGCCCACTCCAGCAGGAAGGTGAAGTCAAAGATGAAATCCTAACGGGCTAACGCTGACACAACAGCTGTTTTTGACTCCAAAACTGGGCGAAGAAAAACTGGGCGAAGATACAGCACATCATGAAGACAGCAATTCTTGCAGTTGCAGCGAAAAAAAATGTGAACTACAAGAGCCAGACTTTACCAAACACCTTCTGCATCTCAATCTTTAGCAAGAGTCAGAGAGGACCCCGGAGTATGTTAGGTGTCACACGCTTTCTTTTTTTGACAAAAGAACTGCAACTGCAAGCTAAATCCATACTAAATGATAGAAAGTACACCCCAATTCTATACCCAAATCTGCATGGGACAACACAAATTGATGCGACCCCCCTGGGAAGCTCCACCCAACCTAGTTGGCTGAAAACACCAAAATCAATACCACTCAATGGATTGTACAAAACAACAAATCGATACAAATTGAAAAACCGAAGGAAGCACGGGGAATTCCTGAACATGGACCTCTGCTGATGCTTCGCTGGGTTCAGTTAATAGTGAATAGCTGCACTGGGGACACCAGTGAGCGGCAGCATGAAACGTAACACTTCACCCCATTGTCACAAGTGTCTCACAACAAGCCCACTGACTCCTATGGTCGAGAGTTCGATGACAGCCGCAAAATTGTTTTGAAACACGTTTTTCTTCAAAATAAAACTGTGTGTTTTTTGAAATGATTTTTTGATGAAATTTATGATTTGAAAAATGCTTTAAAAACAATTTATGGTTTTGTTTTCATGATTTTTTGTATGTTCTTTAATCTTATTTTATGAGTATTGTTTGATTGGTTTTAATTTTATTTTTTTGTGTTGTTGTTTTTAGAAATGTGATGTTCATGATCGTTTGTTAAAAAAACATGTTTATCTTCTATAATTAAAAACGTCATAAAATGTAAAAAACAAAAACATTAAACAACATACAAAATAAAAAATCATTCGGACAAATAAATTAAAAAAACACATTTTTAAAAAATGAAAACATGAAATAAAAAACATAAACAAAACATAGAACAACATAAACAAAAATTAAAACCATGAAAAAACAATTAAAAATTAAACGCGACATTAATAATCATTTAAACAAATCATTAAACAAATAATGAAACACACAAAAAAACACATTTAAACAAATCATGAAAAATAATGAAAATACAAAAAAATAAAAACATTGAAAAACAAAAACATATATGTTCCATTGTCCAAATCATATCTGAAAAAAACATTAAAACACAAAAATGTTCAAACAAAAGCATCCTCAAAACAATTTTGTGGCCCAACTTGTAACTCTCAATCCGATGGACTCCAGACGACTAGTTTGGGACAGCAGTTTTGCGGGGGCACCTCTCGTTATTTTGACCTTGCCAAGCATCAAACCAATAAAAAACATTGGCAGTGCTTGCAGCAACCGAAGTTGGCCTTAGCCAACCCACTGACAATGTGCTCGTTCATATGATAGGAGTTGTTGAAACATTGACACATGCACACTAACATATCTGAACAAGCAGTAAAACCCTGAAATATGGGTATGTCACCAGTAGAGTACCTGTATGTCATGCAAGATCCTAATATGTATGTCACTGTGTGCCTGTATCATCCTGTATCTATGTATGATATAGGTCATGATATATCCATGTATCGTTTCCTGGCGAACCCAGTCAACCGTCAGAAACTGCAGAGGATGCTTCCGTGAACATAATTCTCTCGACGTGGTTTACATGTCCTTCACTAGCCTCCAGATTGCTATTAAGCTGCAGATGGAAAAAGCACTGTAAGTTGAACTTGTTTTCCAGTTTTCGAGGATAATTTGAAGACCATGCCATGACTGCGAGTCTCTACTGGAGACGCTGCCTAGGCCAGGAAGATGTGCATGTTTTAGTTTGCGGCCACTGAAAGATATGAACCATCGGAGATCGTCATCCGCATCTATCTCCGACAATCTCAAACAACTTTGATGGAACCTTAAAAAAACGAGAAAAAATCCGAAGAATGCTCCATTTGTTGGGCCAATCGGTCATTTTGAAAACCTTGCCCATCCCCAATTTCCCATCCAAAGAATATCAAGAACAAAAAAGGCCGTCTCTAACTTACTTTTTTTTGAACACACAATTTCAAAACGAGACACTCCTTGCCTTCAAGTAAGGCCAAACCAACGACTTCACCTTCCACCTGATACTCTATGCCCAGGACAATGGCATTCAAGAGGACCAATATCACAGTCACAGATTCCAAGTATGGCCTCAGCTGCTCGGCAGCTCCCAACTCACCAATGTCGCGGTCTTGTTTGGAAACTCGAAGCCCTTGGGTGTGTGTTGGATCGACATGGATCGACAACAAAAAAAGCCGTTCACCCATATTTTTACGTGGGTGTGTTGAGTTGACGGCCACAGAACGGCATCAGAACGGCCAAAGGCCACAGGTTTGGAGCTTGACCAACGGCCACGTGGAGTAGGGATAAGTATGGATGAGTTATTATCAATGCAAAAAAAACCATCTTGCACACATCTGGTGGGTGCATGGACGCCTCGCCAAACAGCGGCATCCCAATCAGGCAGTTAATACCATCCTCATCCCTGGTGTTTTTCGCTGTGTCGAAATGCACGCTTTCATTGGACGTGCCTCAAGTAAATTTGTTTGAAGGAATGCATTTCAGGCTGAAACGAGAGACACGTTTAACTCAGCTCACATGTCTTTGCTTTACTCTTTCGAAATTTCAGAGGTTTCTGAGCTCTTTTGGCCAACACGAACATAAGTTAATAAGTCAGCACAATTGGCATGGCTATACATCCACTGATAGGAGCGCGCAAGCACGTTGACACTAAGGTTGCAGGAGTAGTTTCCTTCATGCGCCTGACATGCGCCTTGGGGATGAGTCACAAGTGATGAAGATTACAGCATACAGCCAACCCGGACGGCGAACCTGGACGGAGCAAGCATACTACGCGCAACTGTGTCTACATTTATTTGCGAAACACATACACATCGGTGTTCGTGAGTTCGACGTGGTGGCACAAACATGTCGTTTTGTGCCACTGGATGGTTGCTCGAGAACAATGAACATAGTGGCAGTCACCCCCCCATGTTTGGGTCAATGATGATGAATGATTTGCACGGTATCGTTCATCCCCTCCCCGCAATGTTGATAATTTTTCATATTATGAGAATGAGTATGAGGATAACTTGTACACAAAGGTATTTTGCAGGCACTGTTGGTTGAAACATGTCATTCTTGTTGTTCAAAATATCCCCCGTTCCCACAGACACAAGGGTGGCTTTGCCCAAAACTGGGACATCCGAACATCCAGCGGTTCAAATAGTAATGCTGCCAATTAGATCTCAGCTTTGGAAATGCCCAGTTCCGGAGAAACCCATCCCATATATGGTCGCTTATATACCTCACTATATCCCCAAGAGCCCATGATTGTTCCCCACCTGCCTGGTGAGGGTCTCTAGATTTTGACAAACGCCGGACACCCGCAGGCCCACAGACACCAATGCGTCCACACAAACACACACACGCACACTGCTGATTTAGAAGGTAACTGATTGCATAATAGATTTAATTTGGAAGTTTGAAGTAATGATGTTGTCATCGCCTTGAGGGTTCCTAAGTAACCATCCTGATGCAGCAGACTGACAGAAAATGATGTACCTTCACCTGCAACTGCCTGAAATCAAAACATTGTCAACAGTTCGAAACACATTCAAAGCAGGTACGTCACCGGGCGTCTCCGATGATATCAGTGTCACATGCAAGCTTCTTCGTTGGGCCGGTTCTTGCATGGACAACCGGTAACCAGCCCCCCTCCTTACTTCTAAATGATGTCTAAAAACGGCTCTTAAATGATTCTTGCCCGCATGATACCTAGAGGGTTTCACACATAGGAGAGCCCTGCAAACAATGGCAAAATGTCACGAATGTACCTCTTCATGCCTTTTCATACAGCGTCACGGCAAGAAATGAAAGATCTCTGTAGCATCAATCCGTGGATGGTAAGATCGAACCGATTTGACGACATGTTCTTTGATTCCAGTGGTCAAAACACAGCTGTCTCGTCGGACAAGAAATTGCAGAAAAATCTTGTATCTGGGAAATCTGCAAGGAAGAAGGTCAAAGTCAAAACGTTTTCACACACACGCACAAGCAGGGAGAGGGAAGGAGGAACGGAACAAGGACAGCCAGCCACAACAAAACAAAAGAGAAACCAGAGTAAAACCACAAAGGCAGAGAACGGGAAGGGGAGCACACAAAAAGCAGGCAGAACGAAGGAAGGAAAAGGGGGGGAGGGAGGGGGGAGAAAGCACACAGGATCCCAACCCTGGCAGGCAAAGGAGCAACAGCACAAAGCAGAACCAGCAACAGAGCAAAACCACAGCAAAGGGAAGGGGCAAACACAGTCCTGAGGGTGCGGCAAGGGGAGAGAAGGTATGGGGAGGGAAGATAGGAGGAACGGGAAGCGGGGGTGTCCCAAGCTAAGCGTGCTGCATCCATTGACCCACCAGGGAGAAGAGGGAAGGTGCACCCAGCATACCCAAGGGTCCAGGGTCGAGGGGGCTGTGCCAAGTTACAATTATAAATGTTCTGCTTTTCATCGTAAATTCCCGGCCATATGGCGTGTTGCTGTCTTGCGATATAATCCAGTCTTGTGACTTTCTCCAGTGCTCATATTTCATATACTGCGGCATGAAGCCACTTCCCACAGGCACTAAGTCCCGTCATAATGTCGAGGTATCGCAGTATTGCAGTACTCAGTACCCCATTCGACACCAGAAGCTCCAATTCAATGCGCACCACAGAGCGTAAAGACGGCAATCACAACTCAGTGAGTAAATCTTACTCCACAATTGGAGATGAGGTTGTCATTGCCTTGAGGGTTCCTAAGTAACCATCCTGATGCAGCAGACTGACAGGCAATGATGTACCTTTACCTCCAACTGTCTGAAATCAAAACATGTTCAACAGTTCTAAACACATTCAAAGCAGGTACGTCACCGGGCGTCTACGATGATATCAGTGTCACATGCAAGCTTCTTCGTTGGGCCGGTTCTTGCATGGACAACCGGTAACCAGCCCCCCTCCTTACTTCTAAATTATGTCTAAAAACGGTTCTTAAATGGTTCTTGCCCGCATGATACCTAGCGGGTTTCACACACACACACACACCAACATACACAGAACACCACGCACATACATACACCAGCTGGTTTGCCATCCTCATTCAGCACGTGCACGAAAGTATGTGGCAAGCTTGCCAATTCTCTGGGCCCCGACCCGAACCTCACGTCAGATAGAATGTCAGATTTTTGTGTCAGATAGAACGTCAGAATATATATATATATATGTAAACATGTATATATATATACACACACATACGTATATATATATATATATGCAAGAAAAAGCTCACATAGCATGTCAGGATATATGTCAGGTAGAATGTCAGTTGGTGGGGATCACAAGAAGAAAGAAATAATTGTGCTCTCGTTTTCCCCGCCTGCCAGGTGGTCTCTAGATTTTATCAGAGTTGCTTCCGCCTCCTCCTTCCTCCTTCTCGCCCGGCACTAGATCTCACCAGGCTCTGTCGGACCTCAACTGCGACCGCCAAATCTCAGTGGGCACTGCCAGACCTCAACCGCGAGCGCCAGATCTCAGTGGGATGTCAGGTAGAGTGGCAGAAAAGAATGTCAGAATAGAATGCCAGAATAGATGCCAGGAATGTTAGAGTAGATGCCAGATAGAATGCCAGAAAGAATGTCAGCATATATGCCAGAAAGTATGTCAGATAGAATCTCAGAATATATATATATATATATATATCCAACAAATACTTCCATATTGTGTGTCGGAAGCTATGTCAGAATAATGTGGCAGGGTGGGGATCACTCGAAGTAAGTAATTAATTACTTTACTTCGAGTTATCCCCACCATGACATTTATACATTTTGTTACTGGCAAATCTTCTGGCATTCTATCTGACATACCTTCTGGCATTTTATCTGGCATATCTTCTGGCACTCTATCTGGCATATCTTCTGGCATTCTAGCTGGCATATCTTCTGCAATCTGTTCTGGCATATCTTCTGGCGCTCTATCTGGCATATCTTCTGGCATATTTTCTGACATTCTATCTGGCAAATCTTCTGGCATTCTATCTGGCAAACATTCTGGCACTTTATCTGGCATACCTACTGGCATTCTATCTGACATTCTATCTGGCATACCTTCTGGCATTCTATCTGGCATATCTTCTGGCATTTTATCTGGCATATCTTCTGGGCATATCTTCTGGCATTCTATCTGGCATATCTTCTGGCATTCTATCTGGCATATCTTATGGCATTCTATCTGGCATATCTCATGGCATATTATCTGGCATATCTTCTGGCATTCTATCTGACATTCTATCTGGCATATATTCTGGCATTCTATCTGGCCGTTGAGGTCCAGCGGTGCACACTGAGCTGGGCAGGTCCCAGGTTGAGGTCCAGCGGTGCACACTGAGCTGGGGGGAAGGTCCCTGGTTGAGGTCCAGCGGTGCACACTTAGCTGGGCAGGTCCCCGGTTGAGGTCCAGCGGTGCACACTGAGCTGGGAAGGTCCCAGGTTGAGGTCCAGCGGTGCACACTGAGCTGGGCAGCTCGCAGGTTGACGTCCAGCGGTGCACACTGAGCTGGGAAGTTGGCGAAGAAATTGGCGACGAGTTGGCAAGGTTGGCAAGGCGGAAGTGGAGGTGGAAGAGGCGGAGGCGAGGAGGAGGGCGAGGAGGACAGCTAGTCGAGGAGGAGGAGGAGGAAGAGGTGGCGGGCGGGCATGCGCTCTGATAAAATCTAACAACCCTCACCTGGCAGGTGGGGAAATAACCCATATAACTGTTGCTCAACCTCACAATTCTTAAGCATTCTTGACGATCACCAATAATCTATTTTTGTTGCTGGTTGAATCTCATTTTCAACCACGCCATAGCACGCCAAGCTGCTCTATATTGAGATGGAGATCGCCGGCGTCACCTTTACTCAGCAGCACATCCTTCAGCCTCCTGTGTGGGATCGCCACATAAGGTGGATTGGTTTAAAGAAAAACAAACAAGCATGACATTACCCAATAGTTGGTACCGTTCTTGTGAATAACTATACACCCTATTGTTGTTGGATATTATAATATTGGACAAATTGGATCCCAGCTGATGTTATGAAGTGATCTCAACCGACATGCTACTACCACATTTTTAAAGGGCTCTTGTGGATTTTCCCTCCCATCCTCGCACATTTGATTGATGAAAATAACAATGCATCACACGGTGTTTCAAGAGATTGATGTCTCACAGAGATCTGGAGATGTGTCAACTGGCCAGGTACCATGGATACTTCGATGTGCATCCCACTTGTTAAAGGTTTAGACCATCTTTGGAACCGGGTTATCTAAATAGAGCGCATGCGTGGATAGGCAAAGAGGCAGATAGGCAGATAGGTAGACGTATATAGACAGATAAATAGATTTGTAGATAGGTAGATAGATAGATAGACAGATAGGTAGATAGATAGATAGACAGATAGATAGAGAGAGAGAGAGATAGATAGATAGGTAGATAGATAGAAATAAAGATAAATAGATTAGATAGGTGGATGGATAAATGGATAGATGGAAAGATGGATATATGAATAGAAATATAGGTAGATAGGTAGGTAAATAATTAAATATATAAATATATATATTATATAATACATATATATATATATATATGTGTATTGTAGATGGATATGAATAAAAAAAATATATTTATATATAAGTATAAATAGGTTCGTAGATAAATAATATATATACACATATAGATACACATTAGATAAACATAGATAGATATAGGTAGTATATAAATACATAGATAGATACACAGACAAACAAACAGACAAACAGATAGACAAACACATAGACAAATAGATAGACATATAGATATGTGTTCTTATATAGGCATATATACATATACACATATGCATAATAACATGCAGGAAACTATAGACAAAACATGATCGAACATCAAAACTTGCCCACCTTGGCGACATCGAACCCGGCGTCATGGCCACTTCCTTGCGATGGCTGTGGGATTTTTCACCATCCATGGGAATCAAATTCATGGAGATTCACAATTTTTTACAATAGATATATCCATGGATGATGCTCCACCAAACATCCATGTTTTCCATGTGTATATTCCATGTATAGTATATTCCATGGTATCCATATCGACCAAACATCCATGTTTTCATCGAATGATGATCAACCATTGGCTTTTAAAGATGTTTTTGGGCCATTTTCTCAGACTCTCAGCTATTTCTGCTATCCCGTCGCCAGGTGTCCAAAGCTTCTTTCCAGGAAGCTCTACGACCAACAACGGATGCCACACCACTGCCTCCAGCGGCATCCGAAAGGTTGATTTGACCGCCCAACGGCGGTCTATGGTCCATGTATTCCAGAAATGGCTATGTTTGAACTTGATTGGCCTGTGGTAAACATACAAAAAGAATACAAAAAGCTATTCAAAATCGCCATTTATAGTTGATTTACATTGATTTACCCATTAAAATGGTGATTTCCATAGTTATGTTAGTTTACCAGAGAGTATATAATTACTATGTAATTGTATATGTGCGACGGTCAAAACTCAATTCATGTGGTGAGGTCATGGCATCGCTTCACAAGGCCCCCTATCGCTACACACAGTCCCAGCACCCTTTTCACCAACTAGGCAGAATTGCTGCTAGAAGAGGAGGATCCAGATGAGGAATCGGATTCTTGTTCCTTTTGCGCTGGTATCTCCAGGAAAATTCAAACTTTTACTTGATCACCAAGGCTGACGTCGACAGCTTCAGCTAGACACCAGCCGGACTCACTGCAGGTCATCTGACCTCGGAGGCTGCCCTTGGCTTGTGTTGGCTTGTCTTGCCTGTGCTGCCTTGTTTCCGGCGCCTTTTTTTCTTCACCCCGCCTCCTTTGCAACCTAATACCACGCCAAAATGAATCGGCAAAAGCCTGACCAAATGAACCCTTTAAGAACTAACCCATTAAGAACTTGAGGGTACCCTTGTTCATACTTCCCATATTTTTCCACCTATAGCACAAGTTGTAAAGTTTCAAGTGACCATGTGGGGTACTCCCTAATTTCATGGATTTCAGGTATCGCTCTGGATATCGAGGGTATCGCTTCGGGCATCGCTACGGGGACCAGAAAATGTGTGATCTCGGGGGTATGTTTCAAGTGACACGAAATTCTGACAAGCTCCATGTTGCAATTCTACTCCTGGACAGTGGCTTTGGAGAAGCGTCCGTGACCGCACAAGGATGCTTTTTCAACATATCTCAACACGGTCACTATCTAAAACAACATCATCACCATCACCATCATTATCAGCATCATCACCATCATCAAGGACATGATGCGTTATGAATTTGTTTCTTGCATATTTTATAGATCAACATGCCCCAATATATCAACATTGTTTAATGTAACTATCTCATATATACTTGACGACAGGCCATCTTGCAACTACCCAGGAAGACCAGCCCACTGCGACTGCTCCAGTGTCGCACTCTGACATCAAAAGATTGGAAAGTCATGCGCCCAACAGGAAGGTTCAATCATAAACAAAGCCTAAAAAGAGGTATCGCTACACAAGGCCCCCTATCGCTACACACAGTAAATTACATGTTTTGAGTAGTGATGGCGGATCGTAATTGAAGCCTTTCACAGCGTCTTTTGATCATTGCACATATGAGTAATTACTATGTAATTGTATATGAGCAGCCCGGGTATACCAAGCTCTTACAAATGGCAACATCCCACACCCAGTTGTAGGCCCAGGTCTTCCTGTTGGCTGCTGGCTTGCTGGAATCCATGGGAAAGCCATGGAATTACCCGAAAAAAATAGGACAATTTGAAGGTTTTCTGAAATAGGGGTACCCCTAAGTCATCTATTTCATTCTATTTCTAGATAGGATTTTCTATCATAAACCATCCAGCTATTGGGGTACCAACATTTATGGACACCCGCATTTCGTTTGAATCTCTTTGGTATGACAGGCCGCGATTTCGGCAAACACCAACCTCAAGAAATCTGCATATAAATCTGGACAAAAGATGACGATTCACTAATCTGAAATAAGACTATGGGCTATGTGGGGATAGTTATCCCTGTTACCTACCATCATTCCAGTGAGGTCGCAGGGAGGTCGTTATCAATTTTATCCAGATAAATTTCAGATAATGTAAAAATAGCTCGCTTTCTTTCAAGCTGCCCTCCCATCAAGAATACTTCAAGAATACTTCTCAATGCAAAAACACTATCTGGCTATCTGGTTGTCTCAAAAATCGTCCACACCAAAATCGCATGACGGTCGACGTGGAAAGTCGACGTGGCCTTCGGACACCTCCGACTCAAGCGACTGCGACAGTTCTTCGATCGCGAAGTCTGGATAACTATCATTTCCGGGAGCCTGGCACGTTTCTGTTCTTGTTGGGACGGGATGTAACATGGTTTAACATTGGTTTAACCATGTTTGACCTACAAAGTCTTGGGGAATAATTCTGGCTAGCTTTTGGGGAATTGTGGTTCATGGTTAATTCTGGCTAATCGTGGTTAGTAGTCATAGTAGTCTCAGTCTAAGGGTTTGTGGTCTCATCGAAGGAAGTTTAGAAGTCAAACTTCCGACAATATGGACAGATGAAAAGCAGAGCAGGGAAGAGGCAGAGAGAAGAGAAAGATTAGAAGAAAGAAGAGTAGAAGAGAAAGAGTAAGAAGAAAGAAGATGCAGATGCGCGAACAGGTAGGAAAGTCGTGAATCACTGTGTTTTTCCAATGATGTGTGGCTCCGGAGCCAGCTGGCCAGATGAGAGATGAAAAATTGGACGCCGTTGTGGCGCGAAGCACATTTGCAAGTCAAAATGTACAAAACACACCATGGTCGGACCACTTTTGGAAGTTGAGATGTCGAAAAAGTGCACGCCGTTGTGGCGTGAAGCACATTTGCAAGTCAAAATGTACAAAACACACCAGCTCCGGACCACTTTTGGAGGTTCAGATGTCGAAAAAGTGCACGCCGTTGTGGTGTGAAGCACATTTCGAAGTCAAAATGTACAAAACACACCATGGGTACGGACCACTTTTGGAGGTTCAGATGTCGCTTCGCTTCGCTTCGGGTCAGTACACTACACTATACACTCCACTACACTACAGTACATTACACTACACTACACTCCACAACACTACAGCTACAAGTACAGAACTACACAACTACACCCCACTACACTCCACTACACTCCACTACACTAAATTACACTACACTACACCACATTAAAATACAGTCCACTACACTACACTAAATTACACTACACGATACACGCCACTACACTACATTACACTACACTATACACTCCACTACACTACTGTACATTACACTACGCTACACTACACTCCACAACACTACAACTACAACTACAGAACTACACAACTACACTCCACTACACTAAATTACACTACACCACATTACACTACACTACACTACACTCCACTACACTACACTACATTACACTACACTCCACTACACTCCACTACACTCCACTACACTAAATTACACTACACTACACCACATTACACTACAGTACGCTACACTACACTACATTACACTACACTATACACTCCACTACACTACATTACACTACACTATACACTCCACTACACTACTGTACATTACACTACACTACACTACACAACACTACAACTACAACTACAGAACTACACAACTACACTCCACTACACTCCATTACACTAAATTTCACTACACTGCACAACAGTACACTACACTACACTACATTCCACTACACTCCACTACACTACACTACATTACACTACACTACATTACACTGAATGACACTGCACCACAGATAGACAGGTAGACAGATAGATAGATAGATAGATAGATAGATAGATAGATAGATAGACAGATAGACAGATAGACAGGTAGACAGGTAGACAGCTAGACAGATAGACAGAGGAAAGAGAGATAGATAGATAGATAGATAAATAAATAGAAAGATAGATAGGGTAATTAGATGAAAGAGAGAGAGAGATAGATAGATAGATCGATCGATCGATCGATAGATAGATAGATAGATACATAGAAAATAGATAGGTAGGTAGGTAGATAGTCAGAGAAAGAGATAGAAAGAGTGAGAGAGATCAAGCACCTTTCAGTCCATCAGTGGCTTCGCTCTGCCATCCCTGATTCACAACAACCAACCTCTCCTATAGGTTTCCTATTTTTGAAACTTCCGCCAGCGCCTTGCGCGGTACTACTGGTATGCATTCATATGCGACTGTTGTCAATTACGGTTCATGTTCTTACATGGCCGGAGATCAGCTGTAGGGATTTCGCCGAGATGTCGGGGGAAGTGGGTGAATCAATTGGGAATTTAACAAAGGCAGCTGGGCATACAAACCAACCAGGGTACAGCGTGTATTACCCAGCGACTACCAACTAACTATGTGAGGGTTGTCCGGAAAATTGGGTAGATAGTTTCTTAAATGGAGACAACCAAATATGTTTTTTTGGTTAGATACAGAAAACACAAGATTGCAAAATGTGTGTTCAGGGTGCCGCTATCATCTATCGAACAATTTGTCCTTGTCATGAGGGAGTCATAATTTTTTTGACAACAGATCCTATACGAACTAAGGTGGTGCAGTTTTCTGTTTGTTTGTTTTTTTTCCCGGACTGGGACACCATTTTTTGGGGAAATGGATGGACATGGGTGGACATGAAACATATGTAATACATACATGTGTTTGAAACAGATTCAGGGAATTCGACCCTCTTTTGCAAATATGGGAACAAAACCAAGGGCCCATTGGGGTAATGCCACTGGTTTGAGGGAATAACGCCGTGCTCTAGGCAAGTTATTCCAAATCTTGGACCGTTCAATGTTCAGTATAAGAATACCCTGACCTTCCATATCGTTCCTGGGAAACGAGTACCTCCATGTTGCGCTTCAGCAGAGGGCTCTAAGTGAGGGACTCTCCAACCACAGTTTCTATTACCGTAAAGGAGTGCGGCACTAGACTAGACAGCTATGAGCAGATGGGCTGCCAGTTGCATGAGGAAATCTTGCAAGTTTCACGCACTTGGAAGTGACCCTGCAACCACGGGTTGTTCACTCAGTTTCACGCCAAAATAAGAGTTTTTTCACGCACTTCTCGCATTTGTTTTGTTGACACCCTTTGATTCTCGTTGACGTGTGAAAGCAATCGCTGATGATGGCTCCCAGGAAAAAATGCGATCATGGATGCATGGTTTGATATGTTTATGAATTATATACTTTTGCAGGTGATCAATAGTGAGCATCTTGAGCCTTTCCTACGTGAGCCATCGAATGATGCACGGGGAATGGAGGCATGATCAACCAGTGCTGAAAGTCCTTAGTGAAAAGGCCTTGAGAAACGAGCACTTTGCAGAGGTGCCAGTTAAACGAGAACTGAAAGTTCAGGGATACAAACAAATCCAGCAGTTATGGCACCACATCTTCTAAAGTCAACCCAGCTTCAGCCATGAGCATAGTATCTGTTTACACAAATGTGAGACCGTTTGTCTGAAAGTGCATGAAGATTCAAGTAATCAACAAGATTCCAAAGCTTGAATACCCCATGTTCAAACAGACCCCAAGTATCAGGATGGCGAAGACCAGCCCTAGATCAGTAGGATTTTAGGGTTTTTAGCATTCCCCACAAGTCAGAAAGAAGATGTTTGCTGAAAAAAATGAAGTTGTTTGAAACATTTGAGAAAAATGGAATAGGTAAACTCTCTTGAAGGAACCACTTGCCACTTGACCATTTTTCAACATTTTCTGTGTGACACTTGTGACATCACCACTGACATTTGGGAGACTATCACTTTGTACTTGATTTGAGTGTTGATGTTTTGCTGGCCAGTGACACTTGTGTGTAAGCAAGCAAAATCCCATCCAAAACTGATACAGAAATTTCTCAAGCAATACGAAAGCTCTTATATAGATTCGTCTTATTTTTTTAAAAATACTGATCTTAGACCCTACTGATCTAGGGCTGGTCTTTGCTTCCCTGAAAGTAGCGCGCATCTTACAAAGATCTGGCAATGCCGAACAGTTCCACCAACACATTGGCACGTGCCAATTGCAGGTCTGTCTACAGAACCCTTCCTTTGGTGATTTAGCTTTTCCTTTCAGACTATACCAATGAATTGGGAACCATTTCGTAAATCTTCAATCTTGTTCACCACCAGCCAGCCAAGTGGCCGGGTTCTCAATGGGCAAACCATGGACAAACCTATCACATTATTTCAAGTTGGGTTCCTGACATACCGAACTTGATTTCAGGTAGTGATCTGGTTGGTGGTTTCAAGACGTTTGCAAAATATGGGTCAATCGTCGGATGATCAATCGAATTTTCAACCACGAGCCAGTCATTATCCATGTTTTTCAGCCATGATAGGTCGAAAGTTCGACTGAAAGTTCGACGCCCTGGGGTGCCCTGGGCCCTGGGGTGCCATGCCAAGTAGCTGTGGGCTGCACTGTCATGGCAGATTCAAAGGCCAGTTTCGTTTTGCCTAACTCAGCTGAGCTCGAAACAGCCACCGGTGCATCTCAAAAGGAGCAAACAAAAACCAGAGGAATGGAGGACTTTCACCAGCAATTCACATAGCAAAACGGTCAAGTAGAAGCAAGAATCATGGGAAAAGGCACTCACAAAAATGGAGGTGCTCAACCTGGGGCAGAATGTATCAGAATATACTGGGAAGAATTCGGGCAAACATTTGGGATGTCTGGAGTTCAACAGCTTCAGTTGTTTCAAGTTAATTAGACACTATTGAATTATATATATATATAATATGCATGTACTCTAATGTACTCTGGAAATCTCTGGAATTGGATGAATATTTCGTGTATTTCGCCACAATCAGGACACAATGTATGGATTTCAATGTTCTATATATTTATGCCATTGTCAAGAGCATATCAGATGGAATCTCGGATCACAGATATTCCATACCAAAATTCACCCACAAGTCAGTCTCAAAGTGTTGAACCAACTTCTCCATGCATCTGAGGCACTTCTTGGGTCCAGATCTGCTTCACCCTTTAGGTTGATCGCCTTGTAGAAACTGGGCTGGTTGACCCAGCTCCAAAGAACGGCACATATTTGAGACATGGAGGTGTAGCAAGTCATGGGGTACCCCAAATATAAACCATTATAAACCATCCACGTTGGGTACTTTCATGGCTATGGAAACCTCCACATGGGGATGTAGGAAAAAATCTTTAAAAAAAAACGAATAATTTCAGCAAAGTCAGACACAATCATAGAAACCAACAAAACATGGGATACGGGGTATGACTTCACCCACACAATGGTGGGCACCGCATGAACATATGTAAAATTATATCATGCTAGAGCTGCATTGTGTAATTGATTGGGACTTGGGGACCCAAAATGGGTGACGAATTGCTGACGTCCAGGACTGTGGTTCAGAGATCGTCGTGCCAAGGGATGAAAGATAGAACATATCCCTCACTGAACTATCATCTGGACAAATCATTAAACATAATTTAACAAAAACAAAAATAAACATTCCCTAACTGGAAACAACATAAACATGTTGTGGGATGGTTCCACTTATCATTTTAAATGTGACGATGTTCACCTAGGCGAAGTTGCTGCGAAAGTGATGATAAAACATAGACTTTAGGGCTACTCCATTGGACAAACTCATGAAAATTGTGGAGGTCGATGGGTCAGAAGACTCTGCCCAGCTACCCTAGAATGATGGCGATGTTCTCAATGATTGATAGGTGAGTTGGCCGCTGGCTCCAATCTATTCTGCGGTGAAATGAGTTAGTTAAAGGTTTTCCATCAATGCTCGGGGCAGTGCTTGATGGTGAGCTTGCCATTCAGGTGACCGAGTCTTCGATACGATACGGAGCATGGGATGAACTGGCCCCAATTTCTTTAAAAAAGGACTGATGGTCCTTAACCCCAAAAGCAATATAAAACAATCATCCAAATCCAAAGTTGAGAAAACTCACCAGTGTCATATCCCCTGGGATGAGGATGGAACGAGCAATCTTCCCGGCGCTGCGAAACAAGAGGCAGAAAGTCCCAGTTTTTCGGAGTCTCGACAGTCTCGAGGCTCGAAACTGTCTGACAACTTTCGGAGTAGCGCCTCAAAAACACGGCACTTGGGGCGAACGGAACATCTTGGGGGAAAAGATGGCGAAAGATGGGAAAAGTACACAAATGTGGTGCTTAAACACGTGATTCACGTGATGTTCCTCATAAAAAACATTGCCATTTAAAGGGCCTACTGCGGCCTACTGCATTCGGCTTTTGGATAAACTCATTTCACAAAACACAATTCATTGTGTCTCCACCGCCCACCTGATTTGTAAGTGGAAGGGTGTGTTCACCTGCTCTGTCTCGATACCCTACGGTAATCAAATAATCAAAGGTGGATTTGCCAGAAAAATCCAACGAAACATGTTTGATTACCCGAGGTATCCTTGACATGTCCTCACAACCTGGTTGCAAAACTCCGTGATCGAAATCCTGGAAAGGCTAGTATTGAATCATGAAATATCATGAAAGATATAGATCGTAAATATGGCCATAATAAACATACGGTGTGTATATATATATAATATATTATACAATTTTATTATGGTCATATCATAATTATAGTACAAACGTACATATCAACTTGTTGGGGTTTTGTGGCCCAAATGATTTTGCAGATTTCTTTGGAAAGGACTTTCATCATTTGTACTGATATTGCAAAATACTACACTGGGCTAAACGCTAAACGGCCAAACTACCACACATCAGCCAACCGTGTCTTTCGGGGTTATATCACCGGGTAGACTGAACCAGTTGTGGAACACCCATGGTTTTCCTAGGAAAATGATGTACATATGGTGGATTTTCCACATCTATGTAAACGTTTACCAGAGGGTAATTTAATAGTTTTTAAATGTTGTTAACGCTCCCCAGAGTATCGTTAGTAAGAATACCTATTAATGGGTAATAATAACCATTAATCCGTTGATAATAATACATGTTAATGAATTAATGTAGGTATATAGTTAATCATAACCATTAATAATGGATAATAACCTAGGTTAATGGATAGTTAATAACCTATGAATATCTGTTAATCTACGGTTTAGTAGCCCGACGTTGTCTCTCTCTCTCTCTCTCTCTCTTTGTCCGCATGTGCAAAGCTGGCTAACCTTGACCGACCTTCACCTGAAAAAAGTATCCGTCACAAATGGGTACACATCGCAAATCAATATGGTAAATTACATGCTTGTTTTTTTCCGAATTATATACAAATTGGCAAAATAACTTACGTCCAAACAAAGCCAACAACATCAACTCCTCCACTTCGGCTATGAGTTCAAAAGCCTGGTATATCCTAATCCCAACTATATCATACTATATCCATCTATATCCATCTATATCGGCCATTTATACATTATACCTCCCCATTTTTCAAGGATCTGCATAATATAGATCCAGTCCGAAAAATTGTATATCCATCTGCATCTATATCCCTTGATTGGCCAATTATGCATTGTACTGGGTAAATTATAATATTTCACGAACCTGAATAGTTCGGCCATTTGGGGATGATTTCCCTTACTAACCATGATTCCAGTGAGGTCGCGACGTGAGGTCGTTATAATTTACATTAATTTACCCAGATTATACCTCCCCACTTTTCAAGGAAGTCCGAAAAATTCTATATCCATCTGCATCTATATCCATCTATATTGGCCAATGATAGAAATTATACCTCCCCATTTTTCTTGATCCAGTCCGCACTCGACTTCTCCAAGGATCTGCATGTTGGGCCTCAACAAATGCCACCAGCTCGGCTCGCTCGGCTCGAGAGGATAATCGCGCTCTGCCCGTCATGGCAACCACCGGCCCCAGCAGCAGGCCCCAAGAACTGCAGGCCCCAACAGGTGAACACTGTCAAAAATGTCACCAATGCGGCTGGTGACAATGACATAATGAGGATTCCAAGCTCAAGTATTATTCATAACCCCCAGGCCCAAGTAATCTAATACAAAATCATAATGGGTGGTTTGAACATGTTTGAACTCACAAAATCCATGGCCATCACTGCCATCACTGAAGCACCAAATTGATATACCCTCTGGTTATTTAACATAGCCATGGAAAATGGCCCATTTATAGATGATTTTCCCGATTTTCCTAACCAGATGGTAGATATAACCTCAATCAATCAATGTAATCTGCCACCAATGCCAGGCTTTTTTTAACTGATCAGGTCAACCGATGATTCAAAGAACGGCAGTTGGACGGCGAGCGATGCGGTCATTTGGGGCCACATGATGAGGAATAATCCCTCCCTCAAGCAATGCTAGATTGCAATATTCATACAATTACAAGATACTTAAGGTCATGATGTGAGGGTGTGAATTTTGGGCTGGATTTTTTGGGATAACATTCCCTGCCGAGGTAGCATTTTGTTCACAGTCCCAGGCACTGTTTTCTGTCCTCTACTGAGCTAGTGCTGACCAATTCTTCCGTTAAAAAGGGCTTGCTCCATAAGGTTTTCAACTGCTCTTTGCTCAAGGTAAACGATGGTCTAAACAGTCTAAACTCCCAACTGCCACACAGGCTTTCAACAATTCACTACTGATACTGCCGTCTCAAGATCTAACCTAGCCAAGAAATATATACATGCATCTATATATTTTTGTTTCATACACTGGTTGCTGGTTTTAACCTATCCCAAACAAATGTTTTTCATCTCAACATTCATTTGCTGACGGCTGCGGCGCTTGGAAACCATAGCCATATCAGGCCTTATCTCCAAGTCATAGCCGATCTTTGATAAATATTGGTTTAAAAAAACGCTGGTATATGTTAGTATATAGAATACCTATTATTTTATATAAATATATACACAATATATTTATAATATGATAAACCAATATCATCTACGACTTCATGGATAACAGATTGAAGTACGAAACATTAATCTAAACCATGAACATTTACCATCCATCGTTGACCCTAGGTACCGTCAGGTACCGTCATTCCCATCTCTGGCAGCCGAGCGACACACATGGCATCCACGGAATACAAGTCCTGGCGTTATGCCCTTGGGTTATGGGGATATCCTCTCCCCCCCAAAAAAAAAACAACTCAGTTGAACAGCAAAAAACTGACTCTGAGGTAACAAGGATGTTTCATGGATTAGGATCCAATGAGGCTCTAGGTATATCATGATATATATCATAATATGTCATAATACATAATAATATATCACAATATATCAAAATATATCATTATATATCATAACATATCATAATACCAGAATTTACCATAATATTTCATATAATATACCGGCCGGTTTTTAACATTGACAATTTAATGATTTACCCAGAAAAAACATGGTGATGTTCCATAGCTACGTTTAAACACAGGGCAAGTGCTTTGTGATGTGACCTTCCTCACCAGTTACTGTTGGATGCAAGGGTTCGGGCACAAAAGATTTTATGATTTGGACCATAAAGAAGCATCAAAAACAAGATGCTCAACCGGTTCAGGGCTCCGGGTTTCTGGTTCCCGGAATGGTGTTTCTGGTTCCCGTGGTGTTTTTTTTCCCGGAATGGTGTTTTCAGTTCCCGGAGGGTTCGGTGGTTCCCAGGGTGTTTTCAGTTCCCGGGCTGGGGTGTTTTCAGTTCCCAGATTCGGGTTTGTTCCCGGAATGGTGTGTTGGGCGCCCGTGGGTGTTTTCTGTTCCCGGAATGGTGTTTCCGGTTCCCGGCCAGAGGGGACGGCATGGCGGTGTTTGTGGTTCCCGTACGGTGTTTCTTCTTGCTTCTTCTTGCTTCTCTGCTTTTCTTTGTTCGTTGCTTCCTTCCTTTTTTTCTTTTCTTTCCTCATTTCTTCCGCTTCTGCCTTGCTTCCTGTTATTTTTGTTTCCTTTCGTCCGTTCCTGCCTTCCCCCTTCCTTTTCTCCTCCTGCGCTTCCTTTAATCTTCCTTCGGTCCTTCCCTTTCTTGCTTCCTGCCCTTGCTTCCTTCCCTTCCCTTTCCTTTCCTTTTCGTCCCCTTCCAGAATTCCCTTCCCGTACCTGCCCTTCCCTTCCCTAATGCCTTTCCCTTCCCTTCCCTTCCCTAATTTTTCCTTCCGTTCCCTTCCGTTCCCTTCCCTTCCCTTCCGTTCCCTTCCCTCCCTTCCATATACTACCACCACCAGCACCAGCACCAGCACCACCATCACCACCACCAGCAACAGCAACAGCAACACAGCAACAACAGCAACAGCAACAGCAACAGCAGCAACAACAACAACAACAACGACATGTTGTTCCTTGTTCCATGGCTTCAGCTGGTTCAATGTGTTCACTTCGGGGGGAGGCGCTGC